ATATTTATATTAATTATTAAACAAAAATGTGGAATAAAGAACTTAAAATATTACATAAGATTAATTCGACAAAGAAATTAATAATATATATACATGGACAGATTTTTTCATACTAATATAAATTTAAAAATTATTATATTTATTTAATTTATATCTAACAAATTATAATTTATTATTTTACCTATTTAATTTGTATAGTTGAGATTTAGTATAAGTCTTTTAAACTTACATTTAGGGTCAACGAATGAATGTAAATTATATATATATATATATATATATATAATTGCCCTTCAAAACTTGCCAACCTTATTAATTACCTCAAAATAAACTGCCAATATAAACCAAAGTTTCAACTACTTTTGAATTTGGCTTTCATTCTCTCAAGAAAGCTTTTCATAAGGCCTCATTCAATGTATTTTATGTGATGTGAAAGAGAAGCAGAGAATTAAAATAAGAAAAGAGTGAGAGTTGACTGATAGTGTGTATATACGCCACCATAGCTTAGCCTCCCTGAGCAGCCCCACCGCCATAAACGTTCTTCATAAATGAGGTCTCATATCCATCCCTTTAACTCCAACTGTTAATTTATGGCTGCAACTATAAGTTCATAGTTAGCAACATCCCAACCTCACACCCATCTTTAATTGTAACAAATATGTTTTTTTTTTTTAAATGCATCTAAAAATATAGGATAAGAAATCAATAAATAATTACAAGTTATAATATTTAATGTTATTAATACATTAAATTTAGAGATGTAATGTAATTTTTAATAATTTACTGTTTATATACTTTTTGTTGTGTCTTTAAACTTATTAAAAAATCGTTAAAACTTGCAATATATGCGCATGTTCTCATCAAGATGCAATGAATATGTTTTCAAACCTAAAATCTAGATAATAAAGTAAGTAATTATAAAATTATTATTTCTAGTAATATTAAAAGACAGTAAATAACATAAAACAACCTATTCGTTAAAACATGGGTATTTTAAATGCATTATATCAACTTATATGATGTGATTATGGGAGATGAAATGAAAATTAAAGTACTCATTTTCACACTTATTTCCATGACTTTTATAAGTAAATGCTCACATTTTAATTTATACTTATTCAAAATATAAGTAATTTTTCTCTTCCCTACTAAAAAGAATTTATAAATATTCATTAAATTTGAATTTAGTCGTCAAATACATTTACAAAAACTAAATAAAAAACGAGTGGAAGGATATTGTGATCAACACATGAATGGTTAACATTTGTCATTTTAATCATTAAAAAAAAAAGAATAAAACGTACATACTATATATATTTTGATCTTCACACTACTTACTAACATGATATACAGAGAAAATTATATTTTTAAAATAAATTGTGTTATTTTTTTACAATAAAAAGTGCAAAACACCATGTTAAGATGTCATAGTAATTAGACCTAACTTTATATTTATAACCTTTATTAATTAAAACTATTTAATTTTTTTTAATAAATGCATGAAAGGATGAAAATGCTTATTTTACTGGCATTTCAAATTAGAAGTTCCTAATCATAACCCAATAAGTAAAATCAAAATCACCTAAAAACAATGGGTTAATTAAATAGGGTCACTAGATGATCCATAGGATTCATGCAGCAGTGGGACACGAATTTGTCCATATATTGTATGCACACATCTAATAAAGTGTAAGTATATAATAAATGCACATCTAATGTCTGAAATAGATTAGACAAAGAACAAGAACAGTCATTGGAATCATTCACTAATTTGTTTATTTTTCTCAAAATACAGATTATGGGTCCAGATGAATACAGTTCCATCAAACCGCCCCAACCGTCTAATATCAACAGCAACAACCAGATTTTGTTGACCTTAGTTTTGTTTTTCAACATGTAAACGTTTGACATTTGTTTATCAACACGTGTAAATGTTCGATTGAATTGGACCAGCACAAACATTAATTAGTAGGTCAACTACCCCCAAATCTCATCTTTTGGGTTTTTAGTGTGTACCCAATTCCACACAACCAAACGTTAAAAAATGGGCCAAGGACTAAGGGGCTTATGTCACACATGCCTCGTGGAATTTCTTTTCACACTTATTATTTTTACTATTCAGATCTCCCATGATTTTTTTTTTAATTTCAAAAACTATAAATATTTATAGAATTTAATATTTTAAAAAGGTATAGCATGTTTCAAAATTTTAATTCCTAAAATATAATTTTTATATCACTTTTAAAATTAAATTTATGGAATTAAAATTATAGATAAAATAATGAGTTGTGTGTTGAGGTGTCAATATGGGAGTTGTTATATCTCACAACCCATGTAGTACCATTTTTTTAAGCCCTATGGGTAGTAAACTTACTTTGTCCCAGGCTCTAATATATATATATAAAAAAAAAAAACATAGGTTAGGATCAAGTGAATTAATTCACTTTTTTTAAAATTAATTAATAATTATTACACTATTTTTTTACTAAAAAATATATGCGTTTATTTATTATTTTTATTAAATTATTTTATTGAAAATAAATTAAATTTAATATTTTGAATATGAAAAATATATTAAAAAATAAAAAATTGATTAAATTAAATTATTTTACTTAAAAAATATATTATATCAAATTAAGAAGAGACAAAATTTAAATTTATAATTATACATTAACTTTTGCTAAGTTTACAAGTTATTTATATATTTTTATAAATTTTGTAATATTAAATATTATATATCTAACGATGGTGTAACATTTAATTTTTTTAATATATTAAATTTTATTTAAATAAATTATTTTGACTTTTTTATAACAATAATGACTTAACAAATTTAGTTTACGATTATTTTTTGTTGTCAACTTTGTGCTTTTATTGTGACTTTAAAAATATTATTAAACATGTAATATTTTTAAAATAATTTTATAAAAATAAATAAATAAAAATTATTAAAATATGAAAAATTTTATAACTAATACTCAAATAAAATTATAAAATAGTGTACTAAAAAATTATTTATAAGATTATATAAATAAAAAATATTATTATGATTTAATAATTATTAATAATACAAATAAAAATTAGATAAATTTATAACTTAATTTGATAACAAATTATTATATTTTATTTAAAATTATGTAATAATAATAATTTATTTTAAATATTTAATATTATATAAATTTAATTATTTTTCATCTAATTTTTAAGTAATTTTTTATCTATAAATTTACAATAAAAAATATCATATAAAATAAATATTTTTAATAGATTATAATAATATATTTAAAGGTTGTTGGCCTGTATATTAGTCATATTCCACTTATTTTTATAAAATTTTTAAATTTTTATGGACTTTTGGTCTTATCTGAATTAAGATTAAATTAGTTAGAGCTTACCAATTTGATAGTATAGAAAGAAAAAAAATTCATACCTTGCGATTGAAATTAACATAGATGAACTTCTTTCTGTATCACATATTTTTATTGTTAGTTGCAATATTTGTTTTATCACATTTATAATCCAATTTTTAGAAATGTGTTTTATATATTTTGAAAATTATATTTCAGTTGCTTTAAAATTTTAATTTTAAAAATTGATTTTCAACATTCAAGGAAAGTTAAATTTCAAAAGTGAAAAAAAAGTTGATGCCATTAAAAAAAAAAAAGTAGTGGTGTGAAAAGCAATTTCTACGTCATAATTGTGAATTTAAACTATCGACCAAAAACAAAACACTGGACCAAAATTACCCCAAAAAGATTTTTAAAAAAAAAATTGGACTCAAATAAAGGAATTTACATCCAACAAGAATACATCATTTTAAAGCATGTTTTTCCTTAGTGCTACCCCCATAAGCACAATCTTAAAATCAAACAGCTAATAAACATAACCATCAGCAGTCACATCTTATTCAGATATGGATTTTCCGTAGCTGTTAGACAAAACTACAAAGGAAATTTTGAATTTACAACATCAAGCTCTTAAATAATCAGCTCTAATTTCCCATCAAATGATTTCAACAAGCAAGCTCTAGGTTGATAAGAGAAACTACAAAGCAACTCTTGCTATCTTAATGTGTTTAAATTTACATTTAAATGTCCATCAATCCATATTTACTTCAATACTATTAGTTGTAATTCTGCAGTATAGGTTTTTCAACATATTTCCAAGCACACAGTTAGAAGAAGTGTACTACCACGTTAGAGAAATCAGGTTTAGATAACTAAACTGTACAGCTAGACAATTAATCATCAATAGAAAGCTTATCATTGCTTCCTGTTGGACGTATTGGTGGAATTTTTTATGCATTTGTGAAAATGAATTGATTTCACCTCTGCCACTTTAACAATGTTCCAAGTTGATACTCTCTTAGGTAGAACACTACCTATATTAAGATACCTCCCTTTGCTTGGGTACATTGGTTAGCTTGATCACACACAAGGGCATGTGCCATTACTTCATTTGCAAGTGTAGGAGTGAAATTTGTTTGATCTTTTGTCATCAGGGTATTGTCCTTGCTATCTATGACTACATCCTCCAGATGCCTTTGATCTAATTTTAATGGAACAGTGTCTATTATTTCTATTGGAGTAAACTACTCTCTATTTGATTAGTTACTGGTAGAACTGTTAAAATAAACAGTTTAGCCCAGCTCAACTCGAGATTAGGCTTATTTAACTCAAAGTAAAAATAAATTTATATTTTTACTGTCTAAGCCCAACTCTACGCAGATTATAAGCTTATACGAGCTGACCTAATAGCTCAAATAATTTATTTATTTATTTGTTTTTATAACAGACCATTTTTTTTATTACTTTTGTAACGACAAACTGATATTTTTATTTTTATGTTTTACTATTTTCCATTTTTATAAAAGGTCATTTTAAGTTATTTTTGTAACAACCTACTAGGATACTCTCTTTTTTTTCTAGTTTTTGTATTAGACATTTTTTTAGTTTTTTTTTTTTAAATTATAACATGTCACTAGTTCTTTTTTTGTTGTTTTTGTAATTATTTTTTTTACTTCTATACACATAATAAATCTACAAAAATATAAATAATTTCACAATTAAAAAATATTTCAAAGACAAAAAGTCTATATACATAATAAGTCCACAAAAATAAATAAATAAATATGTGTACATGCACACTGCCTGAGCCCGCATGGACTAGCCAAGTTAAAGTCCTACCGAGCATCAGACTTATCTGGATTAGGCCATAATAGCCCTAAGTAATTTTGAACCTTGTTTTTTAGAGTCCAAACCCGTCCATTTAACGAGTTTTTTCGGCCTAGTCCATCGAGCTGACCCTTTATACCGGCTCTAGTTGCAAGTGAAGATGTCTTGAGTAATACTAGATTTCTTTGGTCTTGATTAACGTCCGAATTCAGATACCAGATCCATGAATTCATTAAGCAATCTCTGGACTTCCCTGTTTGATGCCATGGATGGAAGAATATCTTCAACGAGGAGTTTGTGTTTCCTCATTCCCTGCAAAGATCCAAAAGAGAACTTCAGATGAAGAGCTCATCATGTGTTTTGACATTCACGGCAGTACTGTCGATCAATAGAAATTACAGCATAAATAGTATTTGACAAGTTTTTTCAATAAATACAAAGCTATTCCTCCACATTGAAGAAACCTCCCTCTTTAATGGTTAAAATCACAATGCATTTTGGATAAAATTAAGGCTGGATACGCCTTACTTTCTCACTTTAGAGAAGCTTTTTCCCTCCTCATCAACCCTCAGTTTGGATGAGAGCAATAAGTGAGAGTTTGAGGGAGAATGGTCTCCCTCATTCTTCCCTTCCCTTCCATAAATTATGAATGAATTCCCAGACAAGGGTGTGTTATTCCCTTCCCATCCTTTTCCCTTCCATCACAGTGAACAAAGTCCAAGAGCAATTTTCATCTGTTGAGCTCTCCAATCATAATAAATTTCAGTAATGATCTGTTTATATATCAGAAAGTTTCAAATCTAATGGTGTGCCATTCCACCATTATTAGTTTGACTTGGTTTTAGCACGTGATAATAATCACACAATATAAATACATTATGTATATTGATTAAAATGTCTTACAAGCACAAAAGGATCCCATGCTAAGCTCTTTGAATCTGAAGATGCTTCTTCAGCCATCCCTGGTGGAGGTCCAAGGAAACTCTCACAGACTTCTCGTAGTCTAGATTCATCTGGTTCTCTGCAATCATTTTATAATCTCTGTTTAGTCTGCCACTAGTACAAAAATCATTCAGACCCAAGAACATGATTGAATAATTAAAAACTTATAAAAATTGATATTTATAAGTGGCTAATCAAATCACATGCTCTGATTAAATGTATGTTTGACACCTTTCTTGATAAATAAATTCCCGAAGACTAATGACAAGGAGCAAAGCTCCATCTGTCCAAGAGGTTACCATGTCACTTTTTTAGAAGCATCTATAATGGGACGTACAGCATGCATGCTTCATGCAAGAATGAGAAGTGCCTGAGTTGCATCCGGAGAATATATATTAAAACAATAGAATAGAATAATACCTTGCAAGAAAGCGTACATAGGACAATAGGCATTGGCGATATTCGTTAGGAGATTCCAAAGCCAAAGAAGAGGCCAACTGAACCTCCAAGTGACCACGTGTCTGCACTCCATCATCAGTCACTCTATTATCAAAATATTCTTGTTCAGAAAAGTGTTCCTTTAAACATCAGAATACTGCCAATAAAAGGGGCAGCAGGAAGAACAAAATTACACAATGTGAGATGAGGGCTTTAGAGAACAAGCACATTCTGTCTTCCTCCTAAACCAAAATATGAGTCCAAAAAACAATAATTGTATCTATTTTCAGACTCGTTTGTGTTTGGAAATAACCATATTATTTTAATATGTATTTTACTATCCTTTTCATTCTTGCACGATCACTATCCTCCTCACCTTCTATACCCTTTTAAATAAATTTTGTTGCCTTATATAGATTATATTTATGAACAGCTATCATTATTCTTTTGTATTATTGTGTACAATTGTTATTATTCTATTGTATTACCATAAATAGGATAGAATTAGCCATTAATAATATAGATTAGAATTACCTTATATACTAGGAATCTTCCTAGATTCAACATAATATTCTCTGTACCTAGCTTTATATATCGAATGAAAACTCAAGCAATAAACATCTTTAGTCACTCAAAGTAAGTTTTGATATAGTATCACAGCCTACATTCTAGGTTTCCATTTTTTTTCTTTGATATTCGAGTGCAGGAAATTTTTTCCCTGTTCTGCACCTTTGAGGCTGCATTAGAATTTTTTTTTTTCTCTCCTTAGTCTGTTCTTGTTTCTTTCCCATCATGACTAGTTTCACTTCTGAGTTTTTGTATCAAATTTACTAAAAAGAATTATTCCCTATGGGAATTTCAATTCAGGTTGTTTGTTATTGGAAAGTAATTATGGGGTTATATAAATGGCACTGCACTAGCCCCTCGGGACCCTATACAACTGGCTCAATGGTGTGTCAAAGATGCTAAAGTGATGTCTTGGATCACTGCGTCTTATGATAAACAAATTGTTCTTCATCTATGCTCCCATAAAACTGCCAACTTAGTAGTAGTATTTGAAGAATGTTTACCATCAAACTAATTCAGCCAAAAGATTTCAATTGGAGTGTGAGATTGGTAACTATACTTTGCGCAACTTGTCTATTCAATAATATTACGCTGGTTTTCAAAATCTTTAGGCTGACTTTTCTGATATTGTGTGTGCTTCGGTTTCTACAAAGTATCTTCCTGCTGTGTTGGAAGTTCATACGACCAGCTAGTGTGATTAGTTTTTAATGAAATTGCATTCAAAATTTGAAAACACGTGTTCTAATCTGATGAGTCGTGATCTTACTCCATCCTTGGATACCTGTTTTGCTTAATTGCTTCGTGAAGAGCAACGTCTTTTCAGCCAAATCACTCTTGAACAAGACACTTTGACTGCTTCCTAAGTGACTTTTGTAGCGCAAGGAAGAGGCAACAATAGGGATATAAGTAAGGTTCAATGCTTCAATTGTAAGAACTATGGCCATATTGCTGCAAATTGTATAAAAAAATTCTACAATTACTGCAAAAAGTCAGGTCATATTATCAAAGAGTGCTCCATTTGTAATGCTCCGAATTTTGTAACATTGATTATTTAAATATGTATATGGATATGTGTGTGAATGAACATTGGAATGTACACTTGAGTGTGTGATGAATTTTGAATGATGATGTGTATGAATGCATATAGATAAATATGTGAGTATAAGAATATATATATATATATATATATATATATATATATATATATATATATATATATATGTGTGTGTGTGTGTGTGTGTTTGTGTATGCGCGCACGCTCTCTAAGAATGTTTGATTGTGCTTGGAATTAAACTAAAAATTTGACTAAGTGTCTGGTGCAGGGTGTTCTCGCTGTAACGAGAAGGTCCTGGGAGGAAGGTATGAAACTGTCGCCTTCTTACTGTAGCGAAAGATGTCTCGCTGCAGCGAAAAAGAGACAATAAGAAGTGCATTTCTGGATGCAGTCTCGCTGTAGCAAGATTTTACAGAAATCAGAATGCAGTTTTCTCTGAGATTTTTGCTGGAGCGACAAGGGGTGTCGTTGCAGCGAGAGTGTTTTGCTGTAGTGAGTGTCGCAAATAGATGGATATTTGAAGGGGTTAGAGTTTGAAAAATTCATTTCTCATTCTTCTCTTCAAAATCTCTTCGATTCTCTCGATCCAAAACCCTATTTCACTGATTAAATTGTCTTCAAAACCGTTTCGGAACTGGATTGAAGATTGAAATCGTGTTGGGAACGCTTGAAGGTAAGTTTTAATGGTTAGGGTTTTAGTTTCTCACCCTCATTATCTATTTTCTTGGTTTCCTTTGGTTTTCATGGGATTCTTCCGTATATTTAGGACGAAGTTCGTGTAGGGAGTCTTTTTCATCGTTGATTTGTGCGTGAGTCTTCAATTTGAAGTAAAGGAAGACTCTACTTTATCTCATTATGTTTAAATGTAATGTATATTGCTATGCAAAGCCATGTGGATGGTTTGAAATGTGTGTTTGGTAAAATTGATTGAGATGAGATTGTGGTAAAAAGATTGAATAGAGTATAGTGTGTATGATGGAATAAATTGATGAATGTGAATTATGTTGAAATGTGTGTATAGAATAGTTGTGCGTTAAATGTAACGCGAATAAATGTAGGCATCTGTGCCGTGTACCATGAATGAATGTGTACCGTGTGCGAATATGAATATTGTATGTAATTGGAATGTGTGTGAATGAAACATGTTAAATGCAGTTGTAATTATACTATGAATAGTTCAGCGATATACTGGAGATGTGAAAGATGGGGACGGTAGAAATACTTTGGAGAAGAGAGAGTGATGGTAACACCAACAATGAGCATGGGTACACCACAGGCCACACACTCTCCTCCTAACTAGACCTCTGATCAACATCTTTGCCGAGCGACTCATGACCACCCACGTGGTATCCGTGAGGTGGAAGTAACCGATGACTATCCATGGTGTAAAACTGTGATCACAGTGCCGCAGTGAGCGTAGCTACGTGCAGTGAGAGCACGTGTGTAAATGTTTTAGTGCCGTAAGTACATTGGTTGTGAACTGAAATAAAATGCTTGAAAGTATTGTCTGTGATTGCCTATACTTGAGTAGAATATGTTAGAATACATGTGGGTGTGGAAGGTGAGTCTCCATGTTTTGTGAGTATCGGATAGTATAGAGTATTCACCCTTACATTTATTTTTCAGGTGACCAAGACGATTAGCATCGGGTTTAGTGAAAGGATGAATGAAACTGCTATAGGGCTTAATTTTATTTTGAAATTACATGTAATTGAATTGGTCCTGTAGCAGTTAACTTGTAATCCCTTATTATTTGAAAAACTTTGATGAAACTTTATATTGAAAAATTCTATTTAAATGAAATTTTAATTATTCCCATTTTATGAAATTTATTATTTTAAAAATTAAATTAAGGTGTTACACCATTCGCCTGCCAAGACTTCAACCCATTGCCTGTCAAGTCAATGTTGTCCCTTCCTCTACTAGTTAGCATGAAAATGTGGCCACACCTAAACATGTTTCTCCTCATATTGCTGCTCTTACGCCTGAAATAGTGCAACAGATGATTATCTCAGCTTTTTCGGCCCTAGGGATTCAAGGTAAAAGTCTTCCACACACTAAGTCTTGGCTTCTTGATGTTGCTACATCCAATCATATGACATCATGCAAGTACACATAGGAATTAATTAAATTAGCTAGTCTTCAAGAATCTTCCTCTGTTGATACTCTTCTTGAGGTGAATGTTAAGTATCATGTTGATGAGGGCGAGCAACTTTCTAACCCTCTGCTATATCTACAATTGGTAAGAAGTCTCAATTACTTAACCATTACACAACCTGATCTCTCTTGCTCTCCAGCAAGTTAGTCAATTTGTACACTCTCCTCGACATCTTCACATGGCTGCATTAGATACCTCAAGGTACTGCTTTTCGTGGTTTATTTTTTTCTGTTAGTTCTTCTATCCCACTCGCTGCATATAGTGATGCAGATTGGGTGCCCTATTCTAATACTCATAGATCTGTCACTAGTTGGTGCATGTTTCTTGAGGATTCCCTGATATCATGGAAAAGTAAGAAGCAAGATCGTGTCTCCAAATCCTCCACTAAATCCGAATATCGTGCCATGTCTACTGCATGTTCTGAAATCACTTGGCTTTGGGGATTGTTGCCTGAACTTGGCTTTTCACAATCTAACCCCACATCTCTTCATGCAGATAACACAAGTGCAATTCAAATTGCTACCAACCCGGTCTACCATGAGCGTACGAAACGTATTGAAATAGACTATCATTACATCTCATTTCTCTCCCACATGTTCCAACCACTTTGCAAGTTGCTGATATGTTCACCAAGTCTCATACTCAACAACACCATCAATTTCTTGTGGGCAAATTGATGCTTCTCGATAAACCAGCATCAATTTGAAGGAGATGTTGCCTTATATAGATTATATTTATGAACAGCTATTATTATTCTTTTGTATTACTGTGTACAGCTGTTATTATTTTGTTGTATTACTATAAATAAGATAAAATCAGCCATGAATAGTATAGATTAGAATCACATTATAATAGTCTAGGAATCCCTGTAATTTAGCTTAGATTTCAGCATAATATTCTTTGTACCTAGCTTTATATATTGTATGAAAACTAAGGCAATAAACATCTTTTTCCATTCAAAGTAAGGTTTGAAAATTTTTATATAATATTGAATAGCATCTTCAAATCAAGGACCAAAACTAAAGAAAGGATGTAACAAAACTAGGTGACAACAAACACATACCTACTCCAACCTGGCGTCCGAGCTAAATATTTTCTAACATCAACCTGCAAAGCAGCCAGTTCACCACTTTGAATTGAGCCTAAACTCCAAGAGCTGGCAAAATTTGATGCAGGGAAGCAGTCATCTGCCACCCTTAGCCAACACTTGAGACTCATGTCGAATAGGAAAGCATGGCGAGTGGCCAAAACAACAAGAGGAGCACCAGATTTTGATAGCTTAGCAGATATAACTTTAATAGTGTCTGAAAAGGGAGGAAAATGATAGAAGGATAAGCTAGAGCATATGAAAAATTGTGAGATTAACAAGACTAGTTGTCCTTTTATCAGGAAGATGATAGGCTCTGAGATAATAGTAAAAACCAAGCATCTCCTATATCAAACTTAGGTTGCAATATATTGTACCAGCATCTTTAGCAGATGAGTTAGAGCTTGAAGTGACAAGAGAAGCCAACGAGTCATGAAGGAGACAGGTTCGGTTGAATAAATCCCATAAATAAAGAGATCCATTTCTTGTTACCATCAATAATTTCCAGCACTCATCACAGTCCACAAATGTTGCTGCAGATCCCATCATCATGGTTGGCATTGCTCGTCTCCCATATTTTGTGTAAATCTTCTCAGAAGCAAACAAAACACAGAAAATATAGATTACAAAGTGTACGCTCTAAATCTTGCCCATGCATTCAACTACATAATACATGTTATAGCGTAGTTTTACATGTGAAAAAAGGTTTAAACCACATCACACAACATATACACATTAATCACTTGTCACTTTGGAGTACCAAGGCACATCTCTGCATTGAAACTTCCAATTATTTTTCTAAATACCAAAAGATAACAGGAGAAAAGGCACAGAACAACTGAAATTAATATTGCCAGCTTCCTATTAGAACAGATAGTTGCTTTCATGCAGTGGTTCCAGTTTCATCTACTTAGATACCAATTGATATAGAATAGTCTATTTGTCATATTTACAGGATCAGTTTTAGAGTCTGTGAGCTTCTGCCTGCAGCATATGCAGAGGGAATGCACATATTAACAACTTGTACAGAGTTGATGGGTGCAAGGAAGGGGACTCTTTCTAAGATTAAAACAAAATTATCTAAATTGGACATCAAATGACAAAGCTATTATTTTCAAATAATTTTCAAACATGCAACAATGTAACTTGCAAAGGTAGTTCATAAAAACTTTCTAGCTGCAAAAAGAGATGCGACCAAGATAATAAAAAGGCATAAAACATGCAATGAAATGCATGGGAAAGATGATTTTAAAATAATAAAGTAAGCGATGAAGAAATTCTGCAAAATTTATACTATTTTGAATATTTTATTCTTTTATATGTTCTGAACAGTTTTGCTTGAAAAAACAAAGAGAAATGAAAAGAATGATATCAGAGACAGATGATTCAGTATCTAAAAGTTTTTGTCACAATAATATGAAGGAAATTTAGTTTATAAAGGATGTAAGGTACAACTGCCACAAGTAATAATACAAGTTTAGAACACAATCACATAATGCATTTAATAAATATAGAGGAACAGTATTACCTGCAGGCATCCATCTTCACACCCAACTGCCCAAAAATTTGGATTTCCAGCTAAAGCAGTGACTTTCCCAGCTATCCTATCAGACCAAAGCATTTGAGATCCCCGTGTGCAAGAAATTTCTGTTTCTCTCATCATGGATGTTGTTCCCACCCGTATAATGTCATTCACAGCATGTTCTCTTGGACGTGCTTCCAAACAAATAGGTGAAGTATCCTCACTGCCTCTCTTGTCAAATACCCTAAGGGAAAGAGTAGCACAAGAAGCAGACAAGGAACAAGTAGTCATTGAATTTCCCAACTGCTCAACGTTGACATTTCCATCTCTGCCAGAAGAAGCTGGAACCTTCTCAATCACAAGGTTCTCAGAAATTGTCACCCTAGCAGTAACCCCAGAACGTTCTTTTAAATCTGAATTTCTTCCAAGTGCACCACCCAATGTATTTGCTCTTGTGTTATCATAATTACATGCAACCCCATTGGTATCCTTTCTGTGATCAGAAGACATGAGAGGGAAATCAAGACCTTGGGACTGAACCGCACAAGAGATGTCTTCCTTCTGAACAGGCACTCCAACAGCTTCTGGAATAATTCTTTTTCTGCCATCAGGTCGTCTATATTCTCTTTGTTTGACAGGTCTAGAAATCCGAACAGAGGTGGTAACTTTGTTTAATGCATCATCAACCAGACCTCCATTCTTCTGAATATGATCAACCAGAGGATGAGTATTGTTTGAAATAATGTGCACATCAACATAACCTTTTGCCATTGTCTGGTTTTCCTGGACATCAGAATCAACTTTTTTGCTAGGTGCTTGCTTGGCAGAAGCTGCTTCTAGCAACAACTGTGCTGGACTCTCTGCTAAGTTGGCTTGATGGCCCCTCACGTTGCCATAGCGATTTCTTTTCAACTCATCTAGCTCAGCATCACTAAGTCTCTGACCAAGTTCTTTCACCTCAAAATGAAATGTAGCAACAGTTCCATCCAAGGAACAGGCAAAAAGTGAATATCCATCAGGGCTCCTGTTTCAAAATAATAATAATAATAATAATAATAATAATAATAAAGCAAAGTCATTCAAAGGAATAAAACAGTGAATCTAATTGAAAGAATAAACAACATTTAAACTACATATATAATGCCATAGACAAAGAGCATACCAAGATAAATCTACAACACTCAGAGTAAAGAAATGCTTGGCTACAAAAAGAGGACGGGGACTTGCAGTAGTCCATACAGTAATAGTTCGATCCTGACTTCCAATGGCAATAACATTGTATGGCTGTGGCTCTTTGCTTCCTGTCTTGGAAGCACCATTGACCCACCCAACAGGCACAGACTTCACTTCCTGAGCATTTGAGAAATCCCTTCTAAACATTGAATGGTTAAACTTCACCACAATAACTGGAGCATTGTGTCCTAAGAAGTCAAATGTCGCAGACCATTCCCCTCTCTCAAGTACTGGGGCAGAATGCCTTGGCTTCTGGAAACCATGGGTAGTGGTGATAAAATGACCGCAGGGAGACCATCCAAGTCGCCTGAAAAAGGTAGATCCAAGCTGAAAAGAGCACAGATACAGTTCAATTAGAAAATAAATAGAAAGTTTTATTGGGTCAATAAATTTCAAAATAATAAACTTACTGATTTATCCCAGTGACCATCTGTCCTATGAGCGAGACTCCAATCACTAGTTTTCCAAATAATGACAGTTTTATCATCAGATTGACTTGCTATAAAAGATCCAATAGGATCCCATGCAACCCCCTTAACCAAACTAGCGTGGCCCCTTAGAACTGCAGTGCAGACACCATTACTCGTATTCCATATATGGATAGTGTTGTCCAAACTCCCACTAGCCAATGCAGAGTCATCAGGAGACCAATTAAGATCCACCTACTTTATGCATGGACAAACTAATCCCAAGTTAATGAAGCTCTCATTAAAAATGAGAAAAGTATTTTGATACACAGGATGATCATAAAATAAAATCTATATAGGACCACTCAGATGGCACATCTGGTTCATTTACATTCGAAGTGCAAATGGGAGTTAATTGGCTGGAACATGAATGACTGTCGAAAAAGACCAGGGGTTGAAAAAGCCAAAGCAAGTGCATTACCACATCTGCGGTGTGCCCTCTCAAAGTCATTGCAACTTTCCAGTTTTCAATATCTGGTGGCTCTCCACTGCCAAATTCTGTGGTTCCTGAACCAGGTTTTCTCTCATGAATCAATATCACCTGATCATCCGACCCTGATGCAACATACCTCCCATGTTTAGCCCACCTAACACAGTTAACAGAGCCAAAATGATCGCGCAGGGTTGCAAGAAGCCTCTGAGAAGACTCATCATTAGCCATTTCCCCGCAAACAGTGTTCATATTCCATATTCGAACCTGCATGAAGCAGAGCTAAGAAATTGATTACTTTAAAATCATTACTATGGCTCTCAGCCTCAGTCTTCTAGCACCTAACTAATAAAGCAACAAACATCAGAGCAACACTCCTTTTCCAATGAGTTTAGCAACAATACAAAACAAAATGGCACGAAAACATTCTATTCATCCCAAAACACATTAAACAAACACAACAATGGTGTACCATGTCATTAGACACTAACAAATCATGACAGACCCAAAATTCAAATTCATCATTAAATTGAGACTCTCAAACAAACCGCTAAGATGAGAGGAAAAAGAAAGGCATACCTTGTGGTCACAACCACCAGTAGCAAACCGGAGCCCACCAGGTTGAACATCAATGGAGAAAATTTGCTTGCCCTCATGCCTAACCCAGCTAGGTTTCTCAGCAATCATCTTCCAAAAATCTCTTCTTTTGCACCCCAAAATAGTTTCTTCTTCTTCTTCTTCTACCTTTCACTCTGATAAATTGCAGCAAATTCAATACCTTTTCTCATTTCTCACCCAATAGGGGAGTGGGGGGAACTAAGACCTTCCCCAATTCAATTCAAAACCTACGAAATGCCATGCAAATTGCGGTTCCTAAAACACCCTTCTCCCCCGAAAAAACAGACATTGTCAAAACCAGAGTCAGCAAAATTCAGTGAAGTTTGGCACGTGAAAATCAAGCAATAATCTTCATAGAAAAAATAAATAAATTGAGATCAGCCCTGAAAGAAAAAAAAAGAGAGATTTTTTTTCTATTTTCTTAAAAATTAAAATAAAAGTGAAAAAGACAAAGCACCAAGCTTTAGGAGACAATAAGCGAAAACCCTACAAAATCATGAGTGTTGGCAAAGATGGAGGAGTTAACTCCCTCTTTGACGGTCAAATCTCAAAAGAAACTAATAATTAAAACATGAAGAAATTAAAGGAAAGAATTTTAAAATAAAACGGGAGTAAAGAGAGTCTCGTTAATTAAAGGGTTGGTCGAAAAAAAATTTGATGGATTAAAAAAACCATATAAAAAAAATGGATGTACATGTGATTGTGAATGGTGACTTACTTGTAAGTTGTAACTTGGGCTTCTACCAGTTCTATGTGATGTGTTATGTCCCCTAACCTTCTATGTGAAGATATCCTCATGAGCAAAAGGAAATAGTTTAGCAGAATGAGACACAACATTAATTAAAAAATAAAAACTATATATGAAAAGTGTTGACCACAAATGTGAACAATAAACATGTGAGTAAATAAAATAGAAACATATTCAAACTTTCCCATTTCTCATTCTCTTTTGTTATTCTTTCTTTTATCTTTGTTTCTTTGCTTCTAAACCAAGTCACTAACCTATTAATCTATTGGCAGTGGTATCCATTAACAAAAGTCACACAGTAGTTAAGAAATCTCTTGGCAAAACCATGGTTGATTCGATAGAATGAAATCTTACTAAAATTTTGAAAGCAACAATTGCATTTAAATATAGAGTTAATGAGATGTGTGAACTAATATTCTTAATTCAAGCAAATAGGTTACATATAAGAAAATTAAATAATTTACTAATAAATTAGATACAAATATCTAAGGCTTTGTTTGAGAGTTAGGTTTAAGAGGGGAGGGAAAGGATTAGAAGGAGTTTAATTTTGTTTGGGAGTTACTTAATTAAGAGAGAAAAGTTTTGGAAGTTTTTCTAAACCCTCTAAAAGTTTATTTTTTAAGTTTTCCTATTTTTGGAGTTTCTCTCTCCCACTTTTTCATATTATTTCATAAATAGAATTTTTTTAACTTTTTTAAAAAAATGTTAATTTTTCAAGTGATAATTTTTTTAAAAAAAATAAAAATATTAATTTTAAAATTATTTATATAATTAAACCCCATATCACCCTCTCTTCTCAGTATTAAACATCTAAACAAGGGAGGAGTTTAATTTCCTTCCTTCTCCCTTTCCTTTCTCTCATTCTCTCTTCAAATCTTTCTCATTTCTCTCCCTCCAAACTTTCAAACAAAGCCTAACAGAAAAATAGTGGTTGTTGATGTTTTTGGGAATCATCCTATTAAATCTATATATTGTATATATAGAAAGAGGCGGTTAGATAGTAATTTTAAATTCAGTTTATACATTAACTATTGGAGCAGGTTGTTATGCTTTAGCTCACGTGGTTGTAAAATATTAAAGAGTAATTTATGTGAGTTTAATTTTGATTCAATGTAAGTAAATAAAATTTTTTACATTATCAATTTATTAAAGTGTAAAATAAATATTAACTTTTAAATTACCTGTTATAAAAATTAATAATTTGTGTTATTAAATGCTAGTGTAAATACTGTGTATTCTATTTAAATTCTTTATATATTTTCTTATAATACCATTATATAAATATAAAAAAATGATATCATATATATTATTGCATATAAGTATTTTTTTTCTTATTTTTTAATCTTTTTTGCAAATATGCATTTTTAGAATACAACTGCAAGTTAAAAGGGATTGTTTTTTTTTGTCACATTTCATGTATATAGGGGCATGATTTTTTTACAGTGTAGGTCTAAAAACTCTTATATTCGATCTAAATCTTTTATTTAACTTACATCTAACATATTATAATTTATTACTTCACTAACTATTATATGTAAGTTAAATAAAATCTGTTACGTGTAAGTTAAATGAAAGGTTCAAATTAACTATAAAAGTTTGTTATATATATATATGCTTATCTTTTTCTCCAAGATGATAGTTCTTAACCATTTAAAGATTAACATTATTATGACATAAATAACACTAGGCTTTGACTTGGAGTTTTCTATGGATTGAATTTCTAAAAAATCAATCTAGATATATTTAAAATTCAATTATATGGATTGGATTATAAATTAATCAATTTTAATTTTTCTAGAAAATTGTTTAAATTTAGTTTTAAAATTTAGATTTGGTTTAAAACTAATTTTAAACCGTTTTTACATAGTAAAAATATAAATATTTAAATTTTATAATAAATAATATAACATTATATTTGCATATATATATATATATATATATATGTATATATTATTAAACATTAATATTTATTAAAAATAAAATATGGATATAAGAAGTACTTTAATCCATTATATCTTTAAAAAAATTAAAAATATATATCAAGAGAATATTTGCGTATATTTTAATTTATTAATAATATTTTTTATTTTTTATTTTATTAAAATAATAAATATTTAAATATATTTTACTATTTATCATATATCCATTATACAAGTTAATTATATAAATTAAATTTTAAACTATTTTATTTTATTTTTTTAATCAGTTCAAAAATAGTTTAAAAATTTAAATTTAGTTTAAAATTGATTTTAAATTTGATTTTTGTTGAAATTAGTTTTAAATTTTGTTTCATATTGAATTAGTTTTAAATCTAATTTTAAATTTAATTTTTAACATAAAACTAATTTTTAATACATTTGTGAATTTTGTTTTTAAGACAAAATTAATTTATTGTACAAAATGTTACATTAAATTAATACTTTAAAAAAAATTAATAATATTTATTAATATATTATATTTTATAGAAGTGTATAAAATATTTATTATTATTTTTAATAAATAAAATTTATAATGAAAGTTTAAATCAAAACTTATAAAGATAAAAATTAATAATATAAATAATAATAAAATTATTATATTATAATATTTTAAAAATTAAAAAATAAACATAAATATTAAAACAAAAGTAGTAAATAATTTAAAAACATTTGTTATATTCTAATATCTTTAATTATTTTAAATATTTAATTTTAATTTAAGAATTAAAATTAATAAAAATTTATTAGTGATAAAATATAGTTACAATAAAATTTTTTAAACTAATATAACACAAAGATTTAATAAGATATAAAGTAATAGTTTCGTACATTTGAATAAAAATAAATAAAATTGATTTTAGAATGTAAATTTAAACGTTAAATTAGTCATACAAATATAATTAATAAAAAATTAATTTAATATAACTCTAAATTTTTAAAACCAATTTAATATTGGTTATAAAATGGCAAGATCTTTTACACCCCTAGCTTTGACAACGTTAAACCATACATAAACAACACAATAAGCAGCACTACTTTAACACATACAATGCAAGAGAAATTTTTTTGCCATGATCCAGAGAATATTTAGGCAGATGGTCATTGGCAATAGAAATTGATGTTTCTGCCATTGAATCAGATAACATCGGTGAGTATTGTGATAAATAAAGATTCGGTCATGCTCATGGAGAATTACCATATATTTTGAACTTCTTTTTAGCAGAGAAAAAAGTGATATAAATGCTTTCTTAAGGGGTAAACCCAATAATTATGATACAGGACATAAAGCACTCAATGTTAAGTAGATAGCACAGTGAGACCAATAGGACTCTTAACACTTTGTCTGCCATTGTTCCATATCAAGGCACCAAACACGAAGTTTCCATTGCTATTCTTGAAAGGCAAGAAATCAATCCTGAAAGTTATTTTCTCCCCAGTTTTCCAGAACTTCAGTTCTGCTGGTGTAACTGTGACATTCACACCAGTTGGATTTTCAACACTTGCTAAATATACTGTTGGTTCTTGACCATAGTATGTAACCGTGCGATAAACAGATAAACTTCCATTCAAGTTGGACACACCAATTGATGGATAATTGAAGTTGTAGGAAGCTGTTGGAGATTTCTGACATTGAGTTTGAACCCCAGTGAGGTTCTTAAGTTGTGCTGGGCTTGCTCCAGTGCTGCAGAGAAAATTGACAACATCTTGGGAATTGAAGTCGTATATTAATCCAGGATTGAGTGCTGCAACTGGGTTAACATGTCCAGATCCATAGTCAAACGGTGTGGTTTGAGTTCCATTTGGATCTCTTCCTATGAGGTGGTGTGTGTTATCCATAACTGTGGCTGTAACATCAGAACAAAGGCATTACTTTTGGATGATTACAATTACGGGCATCCATTCTCATGACTTTTGTTGTTTATAGAAATTTGTGTAGCATAAACAACTTACCTGTTGTCATTATTGCCGACATTATGGCTGCAGGACCCCAATATGGGTGGCGAGACTTAATAATTGCTGCGACTGCAGTTATGTGTGGGCAAGACATTGATGTTCCTGAAATTATGTTATAGTTGACCGATTGTTCTTCGACCGTGGCTTCGGTTGCCACTGGAGACCATGCTGCCAAAATATTCACTCCTGGTGCTGTGATGTCAGGCTGCAAAGTTGGATAACAGTACACTATTTAGGTCCATTTTGGAAGAGAACTCGTGAAGAGGATATGGATGATTATCATAACCTCTTTTTAGCTTCTTATATCAAGAAGTTTTATAGTCAAATATATGGTATAAGCCCTTATATAATAAGAGCTTATTGAATAAGCACTTAATTAAATTGTGTTTCCAAAGACAGCCGTAGCATATCATATTTAAGTATTGCATCATCTGTCATGCTATATATATCCTCTTTACCCTTTTATGCCAATGTAAAATTTTAACTAAAAGGAATCTTGGTGCATGCATTTTTACACATAGTCTAATGTGTAACCTTGCCTTAATAATATCTGGTGTTATTATATTTGGTCCCATGGAAGAAAAAGCTGCTACTTCAGGTGCAGGTTTGGTACCTAGGACTGTTATTGTTGGGTAGATTCTAGCAATGGGATTCCTGACACATTAAAAGTATTAGGAAATGAAGAAGTGTGACTAGCTTTGATATTGGAGATTTTCTAACAAACTTTTAAAACTCACTTCTCTGTCTTCATATATGCTTGAAGCTCTTCTACAGCATCCTGACCAATAAGAGTGCTTGGGATAACAAATTGAAAACCAATATCTTTGGCATTATGATCAATAAGTATCATTCCAACTCCCCCACCTTGCCTTACTATTATGGACTTCCCTTCTCTGTCATCGGTAAATTGCTCAATTGTACAGATCACAATTTTACCCTTGATTAAGGTAGGATCTAGAGTCCTGTTCTTGCAGAAGCTGTTAACAAAGAAATCAAAGAAGTTGGATTAAAAAATTGAATCATGTAAAAAAAATTGATGTACATTTATGCAGAATATGACACAAACAAAACAACTCAAAGAAATATGGAGATTTCTAAATTTTGCTGCTGGGAGCCATACACAATATGATTCTAAATATCCACAAATTTTTGGCTAATGGTTGAATGAGAAGGTAGATAGGGAGAGTAGTGTTGTCTATATTTCAGAAGGAAATTTTCATATTTACAACAAATATTAACTCAATTTCTAATAGAGTACTAACGTGAAAGAATTTTAATTTTGCTGAAAGGGTAAAAAGGGTATACACTAAGAAGCAAAAAGTTATGTAGAATCTGAAACATGTAACAGCAATAAAGTTTGTGCAGAGCCATATACTGCAGAAGATACCTTGCATTTATTGCTGGAACTCCAGAAGCTGCCGCAGCACTTCCATATATCAAACCATATGACCGCTCCATTTTTACTGGATTCAAAGAATAACCCTGCAGGTACAAAAGCCTTAGTTACTAACAGATATTGTATAGGTACTATGAAATGGTTTGTTTTCTAGACTTCACCTTTAAAACTTTTGAGTTACCAAGGTAGATATTTGAATTGAATTTTCTGTCTAAGGTGCTAGCAGCAACAGTGAGGATCCAAGGAGCAACATTACATGCAGTGCGTGGAAAAACAGAGTTTCCAGCAGAAGCAGAAACAAGAACTCCCTTTTGGAATGCATGGAATGCTCCTACACTGATTGCATTCTCAAAATAAATTGGTTGGGGAGGTTCAGGGCCAAGGGAAAGAGATAGTATGTCAACCCCATCATGAATGGCATCATCCATGGCAGAAAGAATATCAGCATCACTGCAAAATCCAAACCAACAGGCCTTGTAGATGGCAAGCCTTGCACTCGGGGCACCACCTCTAGCAGTTCCTTTAGCAATGCCGAACAAGCTGGCATTAGCAACGAAGGATCCTGCTATTGTGGAAGCAGTGTGTGTTCCATGTCCATCACTGTCTCGAGCTGACCGGAAGAAAATCCTGTTAACAACATCTTTTAGTGGACCAACTTCTGCTTCAAACCCTTTTAAATAGAACCTGGCACCAATAATTTTCCTGAAAAGTCCAAATTCTAGGTGAGATGACATGTTTGGCAAACGATAACCATCTCAAATGCTAAAGCTATTAGACGAAGCCGAATCAATGGTTTTTTTTTTTTTACTAGTATCTCCAATTCAAACCCCTATGCCTACTTGATAATTAGAGGCTATGATACAATATCATAAATCAACTATCCTGAAAGCTCAAGTTATTTTTTTGCTTTTCAATCTATAGACTATGCTCATCAATCATGAAAACTAGTCTATGATGGATTTAGAATTCCAAAAGGAGCTCTTACTTGTTGCAATTGGCTAGTGTAAAATTTTGACCAGTAACACACTCTCCCTTGAATTTTTCAGGTACAAGACCTAATCCAAAATCAGTGAAGCTTTCCGATTCCGGCCAGACCCCTGAAATCCATCATTAAGGCCTCTCATTGCAATCCAAATGAAAGGAAAAAGAGAATGTATCAAAACAGTATTTACCAGAGTCAACGACACCAACAATGACATCAGATTCTGCATCCAGTGCCATATGGTTACCCATGTAGGCAGAGTCTAATCCAAGAAAATCCCAAGAATGTGTTGTGTGGAGTCTATTCAATTTGCTCTCAAAAATGGACACTACTGAGTTAAAATCTGAAACATAATTCAAAAAGTCATTCAGAGCCTGAACAAGTAAATGGTAAATGGATTCCATATAGAATACGGTCTTTCATTATACAGCTCCAAAGTGGAGCCACCCCATTCAAACATAAGGATCTATTCTCAGATTTCTTTAATTGGGGACCACACTAATGTAATCTAAAAATTGCTGAATCAGTCTTCCATCTCTGATTCAAAAATGTTTCCTTGTCCAATATAGTGGAAAGAAAAAGATAGATATATAATGCTGAATATAATACCTAAAAGTTTATTAGCTTGGTCTGGTGTAATCATGGCCGAGAAACCTTGAAAACTTTTACTGTAATGGTGGAGTGCTGCTGCCTTTGCTTCCTTCATGCTGAAAAGTGTAAAGAATTAACAAAGGAGTATTATGTTAGCTATCAGTTAATCTGTTTTGAAATGTTCATACGAGTAATCAAGCTTAAAAGAACATCAGTAGTTATGATTAATTCCAGGAATTTTATCTCAAATTGAGTGACATGCCTTCCAGTAACTGAAGCTAGTATCTCATGGTTTGCTGTGATTACAGATTCTGAATTGGGGTATGAATGATCTCCCATGTAAACAACATAATGCTGCGTCCAAGCAAAAACCGAAGTTATTTTCATTCTATGCAGGTAATAAAGCACTGCTAGTACTGTAGCTTTTCTAGTTTAAGCTCCTGTTGGGAATAGGTTATGAACAGTTTATGACTCCTATTAACTGTTTTCGTCTTATTTCAATAAGTTTATTGCTATAACTTATCAAAAAAAGTTGTTTTTAGTTTATCCCATCAAATTTTGTTGTTAAATTTATGGCATAGGTGATCGTTTAAAGAGATCTTATTGAATAAACAATAAGTAAGTTGTGTATCTAAATGCAACCTAAGTGCATGTTTGAAATGATTATTTAAAAGAAAGATTCACAGGAACTAATTATTTCTTTAAAATAGGTTAAATCAAACATCACTAAAGTTGATAATACAGTAGCTTCATGGATGGAAAAATCAAAATGATCAGCAGTTTACACTAGGCCAGAAAAGAACAAACAATACAGTGATATATAGTTCATAGGCTGTAGATGCATGCGGCTCACGTAGACAGCATGCATCAAGTTCAAAGGAGTCTAACAAGAGTTACGTGATCAATAACTCCACTCAGAACACTCCTTACCTTAGGGGTGGATCCATTAGCCAAAGTATACCCAATGAACAGGAAAAGGGTGAAAGAACATAAAATTTCGGCAAACCCCATGATATGCCAAAAGAACATAAATGTGGAATAGTGACTATTTTCATGGTAGGTGATTGGCTCATTTTATAGCCAAAACGAACCAACCTATATGTCATATATCATATAAAAAATCAGTTGCCGGCTTTATATGTTTCTGCTTATAACTTAGTGTATACTTGGGATTCTTTCAAAAGTATATATAAAGTGGCATTTACAAAAGGAGAAAGATAAATATATATTAAACGAACTAACAACATTTGGAAGAATTATAAACGGCAATTTTTGGATTGATACTTTAATACTACATTATTTGGAACTGATACTAGTTTCCAATATTTAAAAATTCAAAGGTTTGGTCTTTCCTTTGTCTGAACCCCGAAGTGTGTTGTTGTTACGTGGTTGAACGCTATAGTACATTTCAGCAGAGCAAAGGGCCACCTCGGTACTTCAAAAGTGCATAGGAAGAAGAAAGGCTGACTCCTCCTAGCGTAATTTTTAAAAAATAACCATACTTTTTTACTCCTTAATTTTTACACCCACCTTATACTTCTCCATATTCCCTTTCCATCTCTCCCAATGTATAATTACAAAGGGTGTGAAAAGAATCATTTTAATTTTAACTTAATTGCACTTTTTATCTTCACACTTTTATTTATGTGTGTTTTTAGTCTCTCTGTTTTAGTTGATCACATTGAGTCCTCATAATTTTTCAGTTTTTAATTAAATCATTAACTCTAAAATTTCATCTAATAATTAACATAAATATAACAAAGATGCAATATATCATTGATTTATACAAAATAATATTAATATATATATATATATATATATATATATATATATATATTGCATATTGAAAAACGCTTGGGTTAATATATAGCCTTCAATTCCTTCTTATTTTACAAACTTGGGCAATGAGACTTATTTCACGATATTTTATTTCAACCAATTCCATCGAGGCATGTATTGTGATGAATAAAGATTCAATTGTGCTCATGAAGAATTAGCTATATGGAAATCCTCGATGATATCCATTGAACTTTTTCTTAGCAAACAAACAAAGTGATATAAATGCTTTTTCTCAAGGTGTAAACCCAATTCAACAATGATATAAGCCAAGAAACACTCAATGATAAGTAGATAGTACATTGAGACCAATAGGACTCCTAACACTTTGTCTGCCATTGTTCCATATCAAGGCACCAAACACGAAGTTTCCATTGCTATTCTTGAAAGGCAAGAAATCAATCCTGAAAGTTATTTTCTCCCCAGTTTTCCAGAACTTCAGTTCTGCTGGTGTAACTGTGACATTCACACCAGTTGGATTTTCAACACTTGCTAAATATACTGTTGGTTCTTGACCATAGTATGTAACCGTGCGATAAACAGATAAACTTCCATTCAAGTTGGACACACCAATTGATGGATAATTGAAGTTGTAGGAAGCTGTTGGAGATTTCTGACATTGAGTTTGAACCCCAGTGAGGTTCTTAAGTTGTGCTGGGCTTGCTCCAGTGCTGCAGAGAAAATTGACAACATCTTGGGAATTGAAGTCGTATATTAATCCAGGATTGAGTGCTGCAACTGGGTTAACATGTCCAGATCCACAGTCAAATGGTGTGATTTGAGTTCCATTTGGATCTCTTCCTATGAGGTGGTGTGTGTTATCCATAACTGTGGCTGTAACATCAGAACAAAGGCATTACTTTTGGATGATTACAATTACGGGCATCCATTCTCATGATTTTTGTTGTTTATAGAAATTTGTGTAGCATAAACAACTTACCTGTTGTCATTATTGCCGACATTATGGCTGCAGGACCCCAATATGGGTGGAGAGACTTAATAATTGCTGCAACTGCAGTTATGTGTGGGCAAGACATTGAAGTTCCTGAAATTATGTTATAGTTGACCGATCGTTCTTCAACCGTGCCTGCAGTTGATACTGGAGACCATGCTGCCAAAATATTCACTCCTGGTGCCGTGATGTCAGGCTGCATAGTTGGATAATAGTGCACTATTTAGCATATCATATTTATGTATAGCATCAGCATCAGTATTCAGTGCTATATCCTCTTTATCCTTCTATGCCATGTAAAGTTTTAACTAGGAAGAATCTTGGTGCAGGCATGTTTAAACATAGTCTAATGTGTAACCTTGCCTTAATAATATCTGGTGTTATTATATTTGGCCCAATGGAAGAAAAAGCTGCCACTTCTGGTGCAGGTTTGGTTCCAAGGACTGTTATTGTTGGGTAGATTCTAGCAATGGGATTCCTAACACATAAAAGGTATCAGGAAATGAAGAAGGGTGACTAACTTTGATATTGGAGATTTTCTAACAAACTTTTAAAACTCACTTCTCTGTCTTCATATATGCTTGAAGCTCTTCTACTGCATCCTGACCAATGAGAGTGGTTGGGATGACAAATTGAAAACCAATATCTTTGGCATTATGATCAATAAGTATCATTCCAACACCCCTACCTTGCCTTACTATTATGGACTTCCCTTCTCTGTCATCAGTAAATTGCTCAATTGTACAGATCACAATTTTACCCTTGATTAAAGCAGGATCCAGAGTATTGTTCATGCAGAAGCTGTTAACAAAGCAATCAAAAGAATTTGGATTAAAAAATTGAATCATGTCAAAAAACCAATTTTTGCTGTACATTTATGTAGAATATGACACACCCTGTTGGGAGCCAAACAACAGGTGTGATTCGAAGGATCCACAAATTGTTGACTAATGGTTCAATGGTAAGGTAGACAGGGAGACTAGTGTTGTTTATCTTTCAAAAGAAAAAGCTTCAGATTTACAACAAATATTATCTCATTTTCAACTAGAGTACAGAAGTGAATGAATTTTAATTTTGCTGAAAGTGTAAAAAGGGTAAACTAAGAAGCAAAAAGTTATGTTGAATCTGAAACATGTATCACTATCAACAATAAACTCTGGTTAACCATATAATGCACAAGAAACCTTGCATTTATTGCTGGAACTCCAGAAGCTGCTGCAGCGCTTCCATATATCAAACCATACGAATGCTCCATTTTTATTGGATTCAAAGACAAACCCTGAAGATATATAAACCTTAGTTATTCACCGATATTGTATATTTACTATGAAATGGTTGTTTCTTATTGACTTCACCTTTAAGACTTTTGAGTTACCAAGGTAGATATTTGAATTGAATTCTCTGTCTAAGGTGCTAGCAGCAATAGTGAGGATCCAAGGAGCAACATTGATTGCAGTGCGTGGAAAAACCGAGTTTCCAGCAGAAGCAGAAACAAAAACTCCATGTTTAAATGCATGGAATGCTCCTATACTGATTGCATTCTCAAAATAAATTGGTTGGGGAGGTTCAGGGCCAAGGGAAAGAGATAGCATGTCAACCCCATCATGAATGGCATCATCCATGGCAGAAAGAATATCAGCATCACTGCAAAATCCAACCCAACAGACCTTGTAGATGGCAAGTCTGGCACTTGGGGCACCACCTCTAGCAGTTCCTTTAGCAATGCCAAACAAGCTGGCATTAGCAACAAAGGATCCTGCTATTGTGGAAGCAGTGTGTGTTCCATGTCCACCACTGTCTCGTGCTGACCTGAAGAAAATCTTGGTAGCAACATCTTCTAGATGACCAACTTCTGCTTCAAACCCTTTTAAATAGAACCTGGCACCAATAATTTTCCTGAAAAGTCCAAATTCCAAGTAAGATGACATATTTGGCAAATGATAACCATCTCAAATGCTAAAGCTATTAGGTAATGCCACATGAATGGTTTTATTTTTTTGTCTTTGACTAGTATCTCCACTTCAAACCCCTATGACTACTAGTAGTACTTGATCATTAGAGGCTATGATGCCATACAATAAATCAACTATCCTAAAAGCTCTGGTTATTAAGTAAAGGTACATGATTGGTTTCAGATTACATTTCTAACAGCACATAATTTGTTTACTTCTATAATTAGACCAGTGTTCATTAATCACAAAAACCACTTTGTGATGGATTTTGAAAGAGGTCTTACTTGTTGCAATTGGCTAGTGTAAAATTTTGACCAGTAACACACTCTCCCTTGAATTTTTCCGGCACAGGACCTAATCCATAATCAGTGAAGCTTTCTGATTCCGGCCAGATCCCTGAAAACCAACATTGAGGTCACTCGTTGCAATCCAAATGAAAGGAAAAAGAGAAAGTATCAAACAGTATTTACCAGAGTCAATGACACCAACAATGACATCAGATTCAGCATCCAGTGCCATATGGTTGCCCATATAGGCAGAGTCTAATCCAAGAAAATCCCAAGAATGTGTTGTGTGGAGTCTATTCAATTTGCTCTCAAAAACGGACACTACTGAGTTATATTCTGAAACATAATTCAAAAAGTCATTCAGAGCCTGAACAAGTGAATGGTTAACGTATTCCATGTAGAATATGATCTTTCATTATACAGCTACAAATTGGAGCCACCCCACTTAAACATGAGGATTTATTCTCAGATTTCTTTAACTGGGGACCACACTAATGTAATCCAAAAATTGCTGAATCAGTCTTCTATCTCTTATTCAGAAAATTTTCTTGTCAAATATAGTGGAAAGAAAAGGATTGAAAGATATGTAATAGTGGAATACAATACCTGCAAGTTTATTAGCTTGCTCTGGTGTAATCATGGCCGAGAAGCCTTGAAAGGTTTTACTGTAATGGTGGAGTGCTGCTGCCTTTGATTCACTCATGCTGAAAAGTGTAAAGAATTAACAAAGGAAGATTATCTTAGCTATAAGTCAATCTGTTTTGAAATGTTCATATGAGTAAATCAAGCTTAAAAGAACATCAGTAGTTATGATTAATTCCAGGAATTTTATCTCAAATTACATGCCTTCCAATAACTGAAGCCAGTATCTCATGATTTGCTCTGATTACAGATTCTGAATTGGGGTATGAATGATCTCCCATGTAAACAATATAATGCTGCATCCATGCAAAAACCAAAGTTAATTTCATTCTATACAAGTAATTAAGCACCGCTAGTATTGTAGCCGTTCTAGTTTAAGTGCAATGTCTGGAAATTACTTTTAAAGAAATAATCACTAATTTTTCTGAAGTTGACTTAAGAGCTAGAAAAAACAAAAATTCTTTCTTTCAAATAAGCTAAATCAAGCATACACTAAAGTTGGTAATACACTAACTTCATGTATTGAAAAATCAAAATGATCAGCAATTTACACAAGGCCAGAAGAGAATTATAAGCTGTAGACAGCATGCAATCATGCATCAAGTTCAAGTGAGTCTAAAAAGAATATTTGATCAATAACTCCACTCAGAACATTCCTTACCCTTGGGGTGGATCCATTCACCAAAGTATACCCAATGAACAGGAAAAGGGTGAAAGAACTTAAAATTTTGGTAAAGCCCATGATATGCCAAAAGGGTCTAGAATAGAAAGTTATTTGTGGAATAGTGACTATTTTTGTTGGTAGGTGATTGGCACATTTTTATAGCCAAAGCGAACCAACCTATGTGTCATATACCATAAAAAAATCAGTTGCCGGCTTTATATGTTTCTGCTTATAACTTAGTGTATATATGGGATTCTTCAAAAGTATAGAAAATTGCATTTATAAAAGGAGAAAGATCAAAATATGTTAAACAAACTAACAACATTTTGAAGAATTATAAACGGCAATTATTGGATCGGAGAAATGCAAGCAAAACACTATTTACTATTAGCTATAAAATTTAAAATTATAAAAGTACGAAAGAGAAATGTTAATTTATGAGTGAGAAAAAGTAGTATCTACGTAATTTTTATAATTTTTAAAAATCTTAACTAATAATAGAGAGTGTGTTAAAAATGTGTTGTTAGCACTTATGTTTTAGATTGATACTTTTTAATGCATTATCTGGAACTATGACAAGTTTTCAATACTTAAAAATTCAAAGGACTGGTCATTCTTTTGTCTGAAGTCGAAAGTATGTTGTTGGCGACCACATATTCCAAACGGCCATCTCGGTACTATACAAAAATGCTGGTACTAAGTGTACATAACTAGAAAAAAGAATGAATCCTTCTAGCTCCATCTATGTGTATGGATCCCCTGCACTCAAGAAAATGACTGCAGGGTGTGCAGAAAAAATTGTCTGCAAAGGATTCCAGTCTCCCATCTATATCTAAGCCCAAAGGGTGTGAAAATATTATTTTATGTTTGACTTTTTAGTTCTCAAACTTCAACTTCTGTGATTTGAGTCTCGCTACTTCATTTTTTTTCAAATTATTCAAATTAAGTCTTTCACTCTAAAATTTCATTTAATAATTAATGTAATATATCATTAATTTATTCAAATTTGTAAAAAAAAAAAAAAAAGTATATGAAATAATTAAATAAAAATAGACTTTGATTTGTATTTGACCTCCCTCCCACGTTTGGAATTGGACCTTCAACTGATTGTAACTAGATAGCCACTACATGTCACTCCACTCTTCAAGTCATCAACTGGCCATGCCTTCGATCCAAACAATTAGAGGTGACCAAAATAGTATAATTTTGTTTCCATCGATGGCTTCTGATTCAGTTGTCATACAGCGACGCCTGCTCTCTGACAAGTCACGATAAATAAAGAATTATCCTTCCAGGCATTTCTTCCCATATATAAATCAGGTTTTGGATAATTAATACTCTTTACTAGGGAGTAATTTGAATCGTAAACTAATTCATTACAATTGAATAAATTGTTTGGAACAAGATTTTGTGATTGAATGAATATCCTAGTGGGCTATCTTTATTTATGAGACCAGTTTGTCTATCGCGGCTTTGGTGAAGCAGAGCAGCTGAATTCTTACCCACCTTGGAATCTGAAACGCACTCAAACCTAATACTATCATAAAATTTGTGAACCTTGCATTCAAAATGCAGACCAAGATGAGTAACCAATATCGCATATTAACATACAAGTTATTTTTTCTGATCAATTCAGATTCTGTTCTTATACACAATTAAAGTGAAGCAGAATAAGTGTTCACTTCTATAAATCCACTCCCGGACATGAGGAGAATTCATATCCCCCATATAACTTAAAGAATATGCGTTTCACTTGATCCAATAGCTCTGTAAATTACAAATCACAACATGTTTAAACCAGTATGTATCGTCGAAGTAAAATTCCATCGGAATTAACCTTCCTCTCCGAACTCCTTTGTGAATCTCTCATGAACATCAAGGTCAGCCTTGCTTACTGTAGGTCTTTGTCTAGAAAGTACCTTATCAAAATCTGTCCTCGATATAGGTGGTGGAAGGATCTGCACAATAAAGATCATAAAAAATATTATTCTCTAATTAACATTTAGATAAAGACATTCTACAGTCCTGCTGTCGTTAAAATCTACAGCATCTTGAATAACCTTAGAAGCAAGTCCTTTTGCAGCAAGCTCCTGCATTGTAATCTGTACTGCACTCTGTTGCTTTGGTCCACATGGGATCCACATACCCTCAGGATTCTTAAAGAAAAACATGGCATCTTGGGTTTTGCGCACAGGCTCAAATAAAACATCCTTCACCTGTAGAATAGGTCCAATTACCTTTAGCTTGAAACTTGTCTAAATAAAATGATAATTGTAACCAGCTAATCCATATAGAATTCAAACTTACACAGACAGATATATCTGAACCTGAAAATCCCTCAGTCCGGCGAGCTAAATGTTCAAAATCACCTTCCTTTAAGTTATGGGGTGTATCTCCCAGGTGCACCTGTTCAATTTATCAACCAAGGAAAAGACATGGTAAGACCATTTGCTAGGTCCACAATATACAATATGACCAATCATTCAATGAACATCATCAAATATATTATTGTCCATGCCTTGAACATGTGTTGACGAGCCTTTAAATCTGGCAGGGGAATGTATATTCGCTTATCGAAACGCCGCCTTATTGCCTGCAATTAGAAGTTGATTAATCAAAACGAACCCCATTAACTCAATAAGAATAAATAAACAGAATTACTTTCTTCTTGCCTGGTCTAGAGCGTAAGGAGTATTCGTAGCTGCAAGTACAAGAACTTTCTGATCATTGTGTCCTACACCCTACAATGTAAAGTGGATAAACTACATTATGATAAAAGGCAAACACAAAAAGGAAAAAGAAAACTGACACCAAAGCTATTGTAAACCTTGACTGCTAGCTATTGTGTTCAGCTTAAGAGAAAGAAGCAAAATAAAAAAGGACTGAGATCCTTATTCAAAAAATGTTTTCAACTTTAAAAATGACTAAAAAAACCATCAAATAGATTACTTTACAGATTTCTACATAGCATAATACAAAAACCAAGTCTAGTCTTGGCTGTCAAGTGATCATGGACAACCGCAAATGTTACACAGCATCGACAAGATTGAGTAATTTCTGTCAAGCATCATAATATCTTTGAGCTTAAGTAAGAAACCAATTACATTTATTGGTAGGAATTGAAATTTTAATAGATGATTCCTATATACAGCATTACAGCTACATACTCAGGCTTCTCAACTTGTTCAGGATAATGAAATTGTAATTTCAACTAAAACACTGTTCTAATCAACATATCCCCACCATGGCACCATAAATATATTACCTGCATCTGCACCAGAAGTTCAGTTTTAATTCGTCTTGAAGCTTCACTCTCATTACCTTCTCCACGCTGACCACACAGAGAATCTATTTCATCAATAAATATGATAGAAGGTGCACTTTCACGGGCCATTTGGAAAAGATTTGAAACCAGCTTTTCACTTTCACCCATCCACTTTGAAACCAGGTCTGATGAAGAAACACTGGCGAAGAATTCAAAAGTTAAAACATGCTGCAAAAGAAAGCCCACCTAAGCACCTACATTCATAACAGGGTAGAAAACCTTTTTCCGAAGCAAAATCATTGTTAAGCCAGAACTGGGAAATTTGCATGCCAACAACACGTGTAGGAAAGCAACTCATAATCATGCAAATAACAAAATACTAGATAAAAGCTCACACACCTAACCCTTTGCCCAGACAGGAGCAGTTGAGGGAATTTGGAAATTGGAAGAAAACACTAATAGGGAAGAGAAATGAAAATATAGTCACAGCGAGAGGTATAAAATCAGTGTTTTATTGAATAAGGAATAGCTCTATCGCCCTTATTTCTCAAGGGATTGTTACATAGATAAGGCAAAGGCCTTACTGTATTCCTTCCTCAGGTCAAGAATAGCAGCCTTGTCCCCTTTCTTAACTGTTCCTGCCCCACACTCATGAATCAGTCATTAAGCTTACGGTTATAAAGATTTAAGGTTGGTTGTGCATTCAAGATCTTATTGACTGCTCTCAGTCTCTCTCCCCCCACAAAGAGATCCCTCACTAAATTAAAGATCCCACTTGCCCAACAGGGAGTCACTCACTGAATTCTCCTGATCCATTTGCTCACCATTAGAGGACTCCACTCTTTGGCTCAGGGCTGGTTTAATGCTTTTCTTCCCTTTCAGTACATTTTTAGTGCTTCCCTTGGGGCAAGTAGATAGACAGCTTGTTATCCTTACACGAGACGAGAGTAACTCGCCGGAGCTAAATGGATATGACAACAAAAGGAATGTAGCATCTCTCATACACATCAACATAATCTAACAATTCAAGTGGACAATTTTATTTCATCAACCATCAATTTTGCAAGTGAAGTAAATTGAGATTAGAACAAACCAAACACATTAGTGTTACTCCATGAAATGCTACTTGGAAAAATGATTATTTTAACAACAAACTTAGCTTAACACACAAAGTTTAAACAACAGAATGAACAAATGAACCCACCTGAAAAACGTGGAATCAGCTTCTGTAGCAACGGCTTTGGCCAAATACGATTTACCTGTTCCAGGTGGACCGTACAACAAAAACGCTCTCCAAGGTCGTCGTTTACCTGAAACGAAACACAATGAAAAACATTCAACAGAGACAAGACAACACTCCTTCAATTGTTTAACCGAACAAACGAAACGTCCTTCACTTGTTTAACCGAACAAACGAAACGCACCAGTGAAAAACTGAGGAAACTTCACAGGCAAGATAACCGCTTCCTGCAGCGCTTGTTTCGCGCTCTCCAACCCCGCGACGTCGTTCCACTTCACATTCGGTTTCTCCCTAATAATAGCCGAGTTAAGCCCAGCCCGAAGCTTGGCCTGCTCTGGATCCTCCCCATCAACCTCGCCGTCCTTGGGCTTAGTCTTGGGCCGCGTGGCAACGGCAGCGTCCCCGTTAGAGGCTGGGCCAGGCCCGTCGAGGACGGCCCGGATCTCCTCGGCCCGGCGCAGATACTCGGTGAATTTTTGAGTGATTGCTTCTTTGATCTTAGGGTTCTTCTCGTACTTAAGGTGGGTTTTGAAGTATTCCAAAGCGTTCATGTAAAGTGGGAACGCTTTCGCGTAGTTTCCCTCATTGTCTTCTTGCACCGCTTGCTTCACGTACTCTATTGCTTGCTCTTTGAAATTGCTGTACATCTCTTGCCTCTTCTCAATGGCATAGACAAAGCGAGATTGATATTTGAGAGCTCGATGGAAACCCTAGAGCTGTCGCAAGGTAAGATTACTTATGGGGAATTTTTTGTTTGGGATCGAATTTTGAAACCCTAATTAGGAATTGTTTTTCTGATCGGAGAGAGAAGAAATGATCGTTCGTGAATCGAAAGAGAAGCGTTTGGCGTGTGGATGATGAGAATAAGTCAGAGAAGGTTCTTCTGTGGAATCTCTGACCACGTTCGAACCTTCCTTCAGAAATGCGTAATGCGTTGCGTTTGATTTTTCATTTTCTTCTGTAACATTTTTTTTCAATTAGTTTGGGTGATTTTATGTTTTTGAAACAAATTTTATCACAGAAAAAATAAAATTTTTTTTGTTTAATTTTATTTAAAACATTAAAAAATACAGTCGATAATATAAAAAATTATATAATATATTTTTAAATTTATGAATACCATAATAAATACCTTTATTTATTTATAAAATAATACACCCTTCTCATAAAAATTATTAGTTATAGAATGATTAATTGTATTTTTTTACTAAATAGTACTTATTAAAATAATTAAAATATAATTGTGAATTTGGATATTTAATTATAAAATGAGTGATGGCTAACGGTGATTGTAAAATGGAGTAGGTTGCTGTGGTGCTAAAAAAATCATGCTAGGTGTAATAAGTTAATGTTTAAGTGTGTATAAAAGAGCATTTGTAAAATTCAATTAGGATTAATATCATCACGCAAAATTGATTTTAAATAAAATTTTTCTAAAATAAAAAATATTTTAAAAAGTAATTTTAACATAATATTATTTGAATATTTTAAATTAATATGATTTTAAACATGCTAACAAATCTTCTATATAATATATTAAACTTAATCTACCTATGTACATAAGAAGTTTTAAAAATAATAAATTCTATAATATTCTTTTATTTTAATTTTTTAAATAAAAAATGAGAAAATTAATTTAATTACATTATTTTTTTAATTACTAATTGACAAATTTTAAAATTTTTACAATAGATCGTTAAAAATATTGTATTTCTAATAAATTTGTTCCATTTTTTTAAAAATTATTACTAATTAATATTGTAATATTTTCTTAATTTTATGGATGAAGTGAATCTTTTTTCTATAATTATTCTAACCATGTGTAATCAGAAATAAAAATTAAAATATAATATATTTAATAAAAATAATAATATTTACTAATTATAGTATATCTTTTAATTCTTTTTGAAAATCTTATAATAATAAAAATATCTTTGAATTAGAGATACAATAAAATAATTTTAATAAAAAATAATAAATAATTTGAATTAAATATCAAATTATATTTTATATTACATGCTTCCTAATCAGATTTAATACGAGAGAATTTTTTTTATAATTATTTTAATATTGCATAATTAGAAATAAAATAAAATTAAAATTAAAATATAATACTTTAAACAAAAATAATAATATTTATTAATTATTACAGTATATGCTATATTTTTTTAAAAAAAATTCTAATAATAATAAGATTTTTAAATTAAAGATACAATAATATAAAAAATAATTATTCAAAAAAATTATGAAGTAATAGTATTTCTTTTTGAAAAATTCTAATAATAATAAAATCTTAAAATTAGAAATACAATAAAATAATTTAAATAAAAATAATAAATGATTTGAACTAAACCTAATCCACCTCTATACATGTGGTACAAGATTTTTGTAAAAGTTTTTAAAAATAATAAAATCTACTCTATCCTCTAGTCTTAATTTTCTCAATTGTAAATGAACAATTGATTTAATTGTATTGATTCCTCTTTATTACTAATTAACAAGAAATTTTAAATTTTTACAATAGAAAATTCTCTTTTCACCTTAAACAAAATGCAGTCAAGGTTTCAATGAATTAATGAATATTTTGAAAATAAATGTCCAGAAAAATTATGAAGTAATAGTTAATATTTTTTTTAAAAAAATTAATAATAAAAAATTCTTGAATTAGAGATTCAATAAAACAATTTAAATAAAAATTAATAAATAATTTTAACTAAATATTAAATTATATTTTATATTATATACTTCCTAATCATACTTAATACAAGAAAGTTTTTTTTATGATTACTCTAATTGTGCATAATTAGAAATAAAATTAAATCGAAATAAAATATCTTAAATAAGAATAATAATATTTACTAATCATAGTATATCCTGTAATTTTGTTTGAAAATAATAAAATTTTTGAGTTAAAAATACAATAAAATAAAAAATAATTATCCAGAGAAATTATTTTTGCTATAAAATATTAGTCACACCCACACTAATAACACCCATAATGATTAAAAATAATAAAAACAATCAAGTCTACAATATCTAAATATTTTATCTTAATTGTAATATTATAATATTTCTATAATTTTATTGAGTAATTGAATTTTTTCCTATAATTACTCTAATGTTACATAATCAAAAATAAAAAATAAAATGAAAATAGAATACTTTAAACAAGAATAATGATATTTAATATTTTTTAAAAATAATTGTCCATAATTTTTAAAATATTTTCTCTAATCATTCATTACTAAAAACTCAATTTGCACATTTTACTATTCAATGACTAACATTCATTCAAATAGTGTGTTTGTATTTGGTAGGTAATTACTACAAACATTCCTCACAATTTTCCAGTAAATCTAGGAAGTTTGTTTAATTATTTCCACATAGTTTTGTGTTTTTTCTATCTTCCATTTTGTCTCTATTTGCTTATTTGTACTAATTGACTCACAATCTATTTTAGAATTATAATATTCATCACTCAGTGGTGTTTCTATCTTCATATTTTAAAATAGACATATTTGTTCATACTTCATATATTTTATTTAAATATATTGTTTAATTTTTTTCATAAATACTAAACAATTGGTTAGGTTCAGGGATAGCAATGGGTAGGGTATGAGTAGAGTACTACAGTACCCATCCCCATACCAGCATATTAAAAAAAATACATGTACTCGGCCCCATACCCGTGTGAGTATGAACATTAATCCTCGTACCCGTACCTTCTGAGTACTTGCATACCCGTCTTGTACCCATTACCCGCGCTTGTTTGAGAAAAAAATATTTATAAAGAAAAATATGTTTATATAACTTCACACAAGTAGTATAATAATACAAAAATCCAATATGTAGTTGCCAAATAAGGTACAAACATAGATAACAAACAAATATTCAAAGATCATAAACGTTAAATGTATCTTAGTATAATAATTTTCTAAACTAAAATTCTTAGAAACAATAAACAAAACTAAACACATAAGTTATTTGTCAGTGATAATCCTATCTTGTGACGGCATTGACAACTAATTATAATGAATAACGTTTCATAATTGTTAAGTTTTAGTGAGACAAATATTGAGAATGAGGATAGAATTAAAGTAGAGAAGTTCAATACTAACAACAGAAAGTTGATACATAAAATATTTTTTTTAACTTTTGAATTTAAAATTGTAAGAAAAATAATATATTTAATTAAAATAATAATATATAATATATATATATATATATATATATATATATTAATACTAGTATTTTTTAACTCATATACTATACGAAAGTATTTTATCAAAAATATAAATTTTTAAAAAATTATTTTAGTGAATTAAATATTTATAATGTATATAACTTTTAAAAGAAATAATTTGAATAAAAGATAAATAGTTATAATAAAATTTTATAATAAAGAAATATAGGTGTATATTAAAAAAATTATACTTTTTTATCTGAAAAAGATTAACAAATAAAAATTAACAATAATTTTTTATATTTATATCTTTTCAAAAACTTTTTTGAATGTGAATAAATAGTAAGAATAATATTATTTAGATTCAATAGATTATAGTTGTGTTTGTAATACATATGTTGCATAACAAATTATTATTTTCAATTAAAATATAAAAAATAAAATTTAAATATTATTAATAAATAATAAGTTTACGGTAATAGTAGGTGATTGTAAAATTTATAATATATTTATAATATATTTATTATTTATCATTCACTTTATGATTTAAACATCAATATGATTTTATTAACAAAAATATTTGTGTAAAAAATATTTTATGTGTGTCATATATAAATAATATTTTAAAAAAATTCAATCTCATATTAACTATGTAGTAATTAAATTGTGTTAGCCTAATTAAATGATATAAAATAGTAAATAAAATTTTCTATTAAAAATATAAACCAAAATAAATTTTTTAGTTTACTTTATTATTAAATATATTTTTATATTAATCTTATATAACTTCACATAAGTAATATAATAATACAAAAATTTAATGCATAATTGTAGAATAAAGTTCAAGTATATATATATATATATATATATATATATATATATATATATATATATATATGCGAGTATGGGGCGGGGTGGGTACTTAGATACCCATACCCGTACTCGTATAGCGGATAAATACCTTACCCATTGTGGGTAAATTTTGCGGGTGCCCATCGGGTACTTTACCCATTGCCATTTCTTTGATCGTGAGAAGATGACTCTCAATTTGGACAAGATTTATAATATTTCTCCATACAAATCAACGTAAAAAATTAAGGCACGGTAATTCGCAAGTAGAATATGACTAGATATAGTAATAAACATGATATTATTTCTATTGAGATGATTTTGCTTGATGTCCATATAAGTTATATTACTATTGAATTAGTCATTATTTTGCAAGGGATAATTATAATATTTTGAACTAATTTATTTTTCTTAACAACCTCACAGGAAGATAGAATCCAAACATCTATAAAGAAAGTATTCATAAATAAGTTTAAGGATATGCTTCGTGAAGGTGATATTCATGTTTTTGGTAACTTTGGAATAGGACAAAATATAAAAGATTACCATTGCACTAACCATACTTTCAAGATCAACTTTTAGTTTTCAACTTTCGTTCATCTTTGTGAGCCTATTGATGTTGTTCATCAATTTGAGTTTGTATTTATCTCATTTGGTGATGTGTTGTCTTCTAGAGTTGATGACCAAATTTTGGTTGGTATGTCATTGTTTCTATGATATTTATAATAATATGATAAATAATACTTTTAATATTTATATACTTTTGTAGGGTCATTGATAATTAATTTTCAACCATTTAGATGTTATGAGAAGAGTTAATGAGATTGAAGATTTAGAAGAAACTTACATAGGTGTGCGTCATAGAAAGTCAATTCTACATATTGAGTTAAAAATTTTAATATATGATAAAAAAATATTGTTTCAAACACAACTGTAAATTATGTTTATAAGGAAGTTTTAAATAAACTTTTGTAATATTTAGTTAGTTGATAAAAAATAATGATATGTAAATACAAAAGTTTTTTTTAATTATTTTTTATTTATCAAAATTTCGTACATTAAACTGGTGAAATATTATTATTTTTAAAGCATATATTAATGTCAAGATAACCATATATATATATATATTTGTCAAAAATTATATAATGTATTTTAAAAAAACTTAAAAAATGATTGTAAAAAAAAGTTTAAATTATTATATAAAACACAATAATAACTTGAAAGGTTGATACAATAGTATAAGATTATATTAGGTCTAGTGAATATATTAAAAATAAAATTATATATTTGAATATCTTTGTACAAATTTCTTCAAGTAAGTGACAATCACAAACTCTAAAAATAATTAATTTTTAACTTTTGAACTTAAAGACACCTCATATCATATTTAATTTTGCTAACAAAAAGAAAAAAATAATGTGCTTTTTTGGGTATTTTTGGTCAACATTTTGTCTGATAAAAGCCTTGATAATTATAACTCACAGGCCCAATGGGACAGTAACCAGGTCGGGCCCACAGCCCATTCCTCCACCTTTCTTTCTTTCTTTCTTTCTCATATAACAATCAGAGTTTCCTCCTCTTTCACTTGCAGAGCATTCAGCATCTCGACCATGGAAGAGTCTCACTCTCAACACCAACACCAACACAACCACCAACCCTCATCATCCCCACCCGCCACCGGCACGTGCTGCAAGTGCGGCGGCCCCACCACCTTCGCCCCACCGCCACCCTCTCCTTCCTTCTCCGAAATCTCTCCGCCACCCTCCTACCGCCCCATACGCGCCCCGGCGGTTCCACCGGACCCACACTCCACACGCGCCATCATCCTTGCCCCCGTCCCTCAGTCCCAAAAAGTTCCCATAGCCACCCCACCCCACCATTTCCAAACCCCAACCAAACGCATTCAGACCCCCGACGACATTCACCGCTTCCACCTCTCCGATTCCGGCAAAAACTTCCTCGGCTTCGTCGTTGCCCTCTCCGAATCCATTCGCGGCCACAAAATCTCGGATCCTTGCCACCAATCATCAACCATAATCACCATTGTGTCAATACTCGAAACCCTAATTCAATTGACCGACGAAATTCCTCCAGTCCAGCAACCCGCGCGATACGGAAACGTCGCGTACCGCACCTGGCACCAGCGCATGGTGAGCTCCGGTGAATCCTTTATGCTGAAATTCCTGCCAGAGAACCTCCACTCGGCGACCGTCGAGCTCGTCCCATACTTCGCCGACAGCTTCGGAAACACGAGCCGGATCGATTATGGGACCGGGCACGAGACGAATTTTGCGGCCTGGTTGTATTGCCTGGCGAGGTTGGGGCTGATCGGAGAGGAGGATTACCATGCTGTGGTGGCTAGGGTTTTTGTGAAGTACTTGGAATTGATGAGGAAGTTGCAGTTGTTGTATAATTTGGAACCTGCAGGGTCACATGGTGTTTGGGGTCTTGATGATTATCACTTTTTGCCCTTTATATTTGGGTCTTCGCAGTTGATTGATCACAAGTATATGAAGCCTAAGTCGATTCATAACCAGGATATATTGGATAATTTCTCTAATGAGTACCTTTACCTTGCTTGCATTGTTTTTGTGAAGAAGGTGAAGAAGGGTCTCTTTGCTGAGCACTCACCCATGTTGGATGATATCAGTGGGGTGCCCAATTGGAACAAGGTTAATAGTGGGTTGCTCAAGATGTACAAGGCTGAAGTCTTGGAGAAGGTTCCCATCATGCAGCATTTCCTTTTTGGCTCGCTTATTAAGTGGTATGTGCCATGTTATTTTTGTTTCTACTGTTGCTTTGCTTCAGTCTATTTATTGGAGTGTGTTTGCCATTGTTGTTGTATGAAGTTGTTTGATTGTGGTTAGTTGTGTATGGAATGTGACCATTAGGTATAATACAGAATCTACAGATTAAGATGAAGCCAATATCTTAGAGAAGAATGAGTTATTAAAATGGAATTTTAATGTTTAGTTACTCTATAGTTAAATGAAAAGTTAAATTTAAAAAGTAATACATTTGTGAATCCATTCCTGAATAGTGAACATGAATATTGGGTTGTAGTATACGGTAATGGATGTTGAGTAATGATGTCGCAAGAATTAGAAATTTGCAAATTTGGGGGGCTTATTCTTTGGAACTAGAAGATTTTATAAATTTGTAATCTCTATGTGTAGCCCTGTGTTAATTATGGATGTGATTTTAACTGAAAGGCAATATTTTTGTTTGCTGCTTGGAGCAGCAATCTTGATTTATGGACTACTGTTGGCTGGAGCACTAGACATTGAGTCTTCATATCTTTTTTTTTTTTTTTTTATCATTTATGAAAATTTTAATGCTCGGACCTGTGTCATGCTGCTATTGAAGATATAATCATATAATTGTTGTGGTTTAAATTTTGTGATGAAATCAGTTAATCTGTTGTTTGTAGCATGGACTTTGTCTGCCTTGATTTGATTACTGCTTATATTGATGCATCATGTGTGTCAATTAGTCAGAAGCAAACATAATTGTTTGAACATGCATTTGTTATCAAATCTGTTATCTTTTTTTGGATGAACTTTATAATGATGAATTTACCTGGTTCCATGCCTAAATTTAAAAAATACAGATGAACACAGGTGTACTTATCTAAACTCTCCCTGGTATCCTCTGTTTTGTTCTACACACTCTTTTCTTTGCCTAAACAGTATGACAAAATAATGTTTCTCTCTCTTCACCCATGTTATTGTGGAAACATGTAGTTATTATTTACACAATAAATAATATATATTGTTTTATCCAAGCAAGGATGTTAGTTTGCAAAACTTGTTGCCTAAGTTGATGCATGTCAATTTATTAGATATGATTGCTTGGTCTTGCATTTGAGGCCATCTGCTTTCGCTTCATGAATCAGAATGAATTTGCTGGTGTGGAAATTTCAAACCAATATTTGTCGTACAAGATTTATGTTGTACGGCATTGAGTCTTTTTGAGTAAGATGCATAAGAGTTATCATGCATTAAATTAACTTCTTACAATGATGTGCAGACCTTCCTTGACTGCATGGATGTAAAGTAATGCTGTTCTTATGTTGATGTAGAATTTTTATACCTGAGTGCTAAGCTAATACCTGAGCATTAAGCCATTGCTTATAATCTTTTCATTGACATCATAAATTTTTCATATTTGGCATAAAAGTTGCACTTTTTCATGAATGACTCAATTTATGGGTTAATTACACAGCTTATATCTTTCCAAGCATTAATAAATAATAGTTGGGCAAGGTGTTGTGTGACGTTCTGTTGTTAATATTATTGCCAATTCTTTTTTATATTGGATTATTTATAGCATTATTATACTCTCCCACAGGAGGGGACAAAAAAAAAATGTAGGAGCTGGTGTAGCCGTGTAGGGAAGGGAGGGTGTTACACTTTTCCTCATTCTAGGGAAGAAAATGGGGGGGAAAAGGTTAAGATGATGATGTCCACAGTATAGTGTAATATTTTTTACCTTCATGTTTGAATTGTTTCCAAACTGACTGAAAGTATAATTTGGTTTGCAGAAATCTTCCCTCCTCATTTCCTTTTATTTTTTTTAATTCTGATTTTATTAATTTGTTTTCTTCCAGGGAGTAATGATTGGAATCACTTTGTTGCTGGCATTCCTGTGAGCCCAAGCTATATAAACCAGGTTGATGAAATCGGCTATAGTGGGGGAGTGATTGGAGGGGAACTATATTCATGGCAGCTTTTTCATCGGTCTTTTGATATACTTACTTTGTTGAAGCACATGTTCACCATCAACTTGCATATTCTAGATATTAGATATACTCACCTTCATGAAAGTAAAGATAATGGATAGAGTTTCTTCGTTTTGCTATATATTTAACTACGATAATGTTTGCTACATGTCGAAGAATGGTTCTTTACTCACAAGAACATTTAGTCAATGTATTCCTGCACTTGCATCATGAGCAGCTTATAGAGTATATAGTCCCGTTTATAATCCTGCTGATGGGGTTTGGAAATTATTAACATTTTTAGTGAAATAAGTTTGAATATCTATTTTGTAGTTTCCAATACCGACTTTTGTGGTTAGACAATAATTGATTCCTTCCAAATCAAACAATCGATGTTCGGCTACGATCCAGAACTATCCAGCAAAAGATCATGACTTTTTTCTTCGTATCATCGTGGTTTGAGAACAATCCTTTGTCTATTAAAAAATAAATGCTGGATTAATCAAATTATATATTAGTTGATGGGATATTTTTCTTCCGAAATTTGTCTATAATTTGAGATTGTAATTTAACCTAATATGAACAGTTAAGATCGTATATAAGTTAAATCAATTTAGACCATCGATGAAAGATTGATCGGTTAAAATTAATTTTTGATGTCCATTTAGTATATTTTACATGTTGAGTCAAAGTAGCCCAGTTTTTCCAGAAAAATCCCAAAAGAAAGAGTTTGGAATAGGATAATAAAATTAAGGAAAATGTTAACTATTAGCCTTTAGGAATAAGTTAAAACAACTAATAATAAAAAATTATTAAAAATATATAATATGCTTTATAATTTTAATATAATGAATGTATTTTTTTTAATAAAAATTTACTATTGTTAGGTGTTTAAAGTTAATATTAAGGATTGAAAATAATAAAACTCTAAAATTAAAGAGGGAAATATATTTTGGTTTAATTTTGTTTTGGTTAAATTTAATTGTATATTGCAGTTTTTTTTTAGATAATAATTGCTTGTTTTTTATTGAACTATTTTAAAAATAGATATTTTTTAAAAATGTTAATTAGTTTCCAACAATTACTAAATTTATTTAATTCAACCGAGCCTAATTGAGTTAGCGCACAGTAGAGCTGATGGAAGATAAAAAAAGACTAGTTTTTTGGGCCAGTAGCATGCTCATTACTTTGACTTTGTGTTAGCCTTGGTTGTTATTGTCTCTTCTCATGACCAAAGACAAACTTTTTTAGATCCATACCGGAAGTAATGCTTCTTTTTTTTAATAATTTTTTAAAATACTGTAATTCAGTAAAACAATTATAATTTTTTAAATTAAATTTATTTAAATGTTAAAATAAAACAAAAATTTATTTATTTTAATTAACAATTAAAAAATTAATATGACATGGTGCTTTTGGAGACAGTAGACCAAGACTGTGAGACATTGGGGATTGCACTTTTCATTTCAGCGGCGGAATGGGAAAACGAGAGAAGCAAAAGCAGAAGCAGAAACATGAGAGAGACAGAGGTCATCGTGGAAGAGGCTCCTTCAACCATCTTCAAGAAGAAGACGACATTGACGACACTGCTCCCTTCTCTTCTCCCTCTTCTCCAGGGCACTCCCCCTCCGAAGAAGAAGAAGAAAATGAAGCAACCCAAAATCATGAATACCCATCACATGATACACCATCGAAATTCCTCCTTTACCAACAATCTGTGCAGGTTTGTGTCCCCCATGCTTTAAAAATGTTATCTTTGTTAATGGTGTTTGCTTGATTACTTGGTTTGGGTATTGAGATGAAAGATGGAATGTACAAGATTCAAACTTGTTACGTGTGTGTTTCTGAGTTCCCTTGCAGCTAAATTGATGATTAATTGTGATTTTTGAGCTGATAGGAAAGTTCATAGTGTGGCGTAGTGAATTATGATTTTTGTTTGTGCAGTCTCCCAAAGGAGACATTAGTTATCTGCAAAAGTTCTTTCTCATGTACGTTGGTGGAAGGATGCCCCTCCATCTTCAAGAAGATTTCTGTGGCACCGCGTTTCTTAGGTACATCCTGCCATTTGTAATTTGTCTCTCTGTTCATGCCTTTTCTAATTTATTAATATTAATTTTCCATTTTTGCTTACCTTTCTTTTTGACATGCTATAATTGATATCACTTTTAATAAGTTGAAGGAGTAAACCCCTCATTTAATGTTTGAGATTTAAGCATTGATCATTTTAGTCCTTGACTTTACACGTAGTCTTTCATTTTCATCTTTTTCAATGTCATTTTGCACCAAAGAAGATTAAAGTAAATGGTGTTTTGCAAAGTCAGGGACTAAAGTGAGAATTTTATATAGCCAAGGACTGGAATTATCAAAGTTTACAGTATCAAGGACTGGAATGGAGTTATACTCTGAGTTGAAGACTTGATTTTGTCTTTTAGATATTAATGCATTTAAATTTTAATTAAGGACATTATTTACTATCACTAGTCTTATAGGCAAATACTATGGGTTGGATCACTTGCCTAATATTACCAGAAGTATGCGTAAATCATGCCCTTTCATGTCTTACGTGCATGTAAAATTTGGTTTGGTTTTGCAAAATACAGTTGCTTTGTGTCCTGGATGGAATCATATTAATCTGAATGTTTCGGTTCTAAACTTCTAGTTGCTGAAACATTTATGGCTCTAGACACCAGATTAGTATAATGCCAGATTAGTTCAATCTATTTCAAAGTGGGGTTTTATTCACTTTAATCCTTTTTTTTATATCTCGATATTGTTTGTTGGCCCCAATCTACTTACCTGCGGGTGATTTATGTTTAACAGTACAGAATGGCTCCGTAGTGATCCAAGAAGGACTGCAGTAGGATTAGATTTAGATCTTGAGGCACTTAATTGGTGCATGGAAAACAACATACCTAAAGTTGGGGCTGATGGATTTTCTAGAATGTCCCTCTTTCATGGGAATGTCTTGCAACCTCTTCAGTCTAAACTTGTGAAAATTGATCCTCAGGAGCTGGTAAGAAACATTTCACTGTCACAGAATAGAGAAAATTTGCCGACTGGGGTGCCAGAATCTGACATTCAGCCAGGCTCTGTTGCTCAAGATGATAAGTTTACCAAGAGAGACTTTCCATTGCCTGGAAGAGATATTGTGTGTGCTTTCAACTACAGCTGCTGTTGTCTTCATAAACGAGCAGATTTGGTTTTGTATTTCAAGCATGCTTGTGATGCCTTGTCAAATAAAGGTGGGATTTTTGTAATGGATTTATACGGGGGTACATCTTCAGAGAACAAGTTAAGGCTTCAGAGAAGATTCCCTAATTTTACGGTATAATATTCTTGATATTAATGTGTGAGAATTCATTACACCAATTAGAAGATGTTGCCACAATCTATGTGGAATTGGGTTTCAAGGATAATGTGGGTTTGAATCCACTTGGATGCACTTAAAATAATTTTTGAGCAAACCTTCACGGGGAAGGGGAACATAGGACACGATGATTGATACAAAGAGCATAAGTACTCTAATGTTCTTCACTAAAATTGTTCCACTCTCATTCAACTTTATTTCCCATGATCGACACATTTCCTACATTCTACCCTTTCTTTGATGTGATTTTCACTCATTATAAGTCTTTTATTGTTCACCTATTGCACTTAGGGATATTGGAGTTTCACTTTTAATTTTCTAATTTCAGTTCTCTATTAGCTTTTTCCTTGACTTCTGTGTTTTTGCTATGTGCTTGAGTCCTTGGATATGTAACATTATATTACATGACATTAAATTTGAGGAGCTAGAACCTTTTAACCTATGGGACAAGGATATTATGTTTATCCAATACAACGGTATGATATATGCATTTAGTACATGAAAACAAATATATTCTTACTGAATATCTTTGACTATCAAATATTAAAGTTAATAAATAAGAAATGGGGGATTGTTGTGACTTGGGAGTATTATCCTGGATAATGTTTTATAATGTGAACTTCGTAACAAAAATCTGCAGTATGTGTGGGAGCAAGCTGAATTTGACATTATTCAACGGAAAACCAGGATTAGCCTCCATTTTCATATGAAGGATCAGAGAAAACTTCGGCATGCATTTTCATACAGCTGGCGGCTGTAAGTTCTTGTATTTTTTGTTACTTTTCCCCTTTCAATTCATAAAAATGAGTTCCATTTCTCTTATTTTTTGTCTTTTATTGTGTATTTCTTGTAATATTTAACATCATAAGAGGTCTAATTCAGGTGGACATTGCCTGAGATCAGGGATTGCTTAGAAGAGGCTGGATTTAGGTCCGTTCACTTTTGGGTTCGAGAGATGCCCGACACCACGGAAATTGTAAAATCAGAGGGATTTGGTGTGGGAAAGGATGTAAAATATGAAGAAGCAACCAGTTTTGAGCAACAAGATTCTTGGAATGCATACATAGTTGGTGTTCCATAGCTACATCTTAGAGAATGTAGTTTCTGTTACATTTATTTTGTCATGACTAGACAAGCATGGCTTGTAATCAGTTTCATTGCTTGGAACTCTTTTTCTCTTGTATTTAGTTGGCTTTAAGACATAACACGCTAATTTTTAAAGGCACATCCATCTCATGTTTGGTATGAAAATTCATCAATTAATATATCTCTATCCTTCAGGATACATGTTAGTATGTGTGCAGAAGGTAGAAGACTAATGAAGAGATAAATTATATGTATTTCAATGTAAATGTTGATATAGTTACAAATGGATCATTTTGCTCGACTTGTGTACTTACCCGGTGTACATATCAAAATTTCAACAAAAGAAAAAAAGGAGTGCCACAGGATAGAAAAAATGAGTGAAAGAAAAGAAAAAGCAAAAAAATTGGCATTCAAAAAGCTATAGGTACAAGAATTAACAAAACATATGATTACTATAGATATACACTTGATTTGTGCTCTATAACCTCACAATTAGTGCAACATGTACATTTGTGAGCCTCTCAAAGCAGTGGCATGTTTACATTAAAAAGAAAAAGAAAAAGAAATGCATGTTTGGATTTGTTGGTTACAAACTGTACACGTGCGTTGACACAGCAAAAGTTACTTTTTGTTGTGAAACTAGATTGTTTCCAAGTAGAATAAACGTGAATCCGAACACGCATGGAATCTCCAAGAAAACTTGTAATCAATTTGATGGATTTGAAAGTTCTTTCTTGATAGCATGAGAATATGTCTGGTGTTGATATTGGAGGGTAACATCCAAAAGCTCATGGAGAGGTGTCTTTGGCTTCCAACCTGAACCACAGAAGAATACACATTAAGAAGAATATTGAAATTCTATAGATCAGTACCATAGATTTAATAGAATGACGATTGAATACCAAGCTGCCTGGTGATAATTGTCATGTCAGGGATGCGCTTATCGCTATCATCATAGCCTTTACCATAGAAATCCTCTGAACTCACATTCAGAGTTGATAGACTAGAAGCAGGTACTCCAGACACCTTTGCATAAACCTTAATAGAAAAAAGTAAACAAAAAGTTAGCCTGTGAAAAAACAAGACTATCTACAGACCAAGTTTAGAAAGGGAACAACGTAAGCTTTGAAGCTACCTGTATCATAAGCTGAGCTAGTTCCCTGACAGATACTTCATTGTCTGGGTTTCCCACATTAAAGATCTGTCCATTTGCTCTCTCAGGGTTATCCTGTGTCATGTTGGCAAGTAAATTATTAGTCTAAAGCTCATATAGCTGCATGAAAGTAATCTTCTAAACTTACAATCATTAACAAAACAGCCTCAATTGCATCTTTGATGTAGAGAAAGGTTCTCTGTGATCTTCCACCATCAACAAGTTTGAGCGGCTCGCCACGCAGGAGATTCTGGAACAAGAAGCTTTGAGAAAAACAGTAATGTATTAAGAACATGAAGACATTAAAAAGAAACAGAATCAGCTAGCAGACGTTACATTGCTGAAGCAAGCTAAAACTCTGGGGACACCATCACTTGGGCCATCCACACCAGGAATGAAGTCCATTCTTGGGCCAATCCAATTATAAGGTCGCACAATGGTGAATTTGAGGCCATTCTCCGCGTGCTCAGCTATAGGTTAGTACTGAAGAGTAAGTTAAGAAAGGAAAGAAAAATACTTAATCATAACTATCATCTACAAAATACAGCTTATTGTTTACCATATATTAGCCTATCAGTCATTTGCTTTGCACATGCATAAGACCATCTCTGCTTCTCAACTGGACCAAAAATACAAGGACTCACATCTTCCTTGAGCATGTAATATTTGGGGTCCTACATCACGCAAATTCATGGTAAATTGAAAACTGACGATACCGTACCAAAATAGCATTTGATGATATGTTTTCATTTAAGTTGTTTTCTGTTTATAGTATGTCGTGAAGAAAATGATGAAAGATAAATTTGTATTAATTTCATCATTTTATTTGCAAATTCTTAAATCAATATAATAGTTAACTGAATGGAAGTAGACAATAATTAAAACAAGTACCCCTAATGATTAACTAACTTAAAAAACTAACCATCTAATTAAGTTCTAAAAGAACACTAAAGAGGGTCACAAACAAAAAGAACTGCTACCTTTTGATATTCCTCAGGAAGAAAGCTACCTATAGTCTTTCCATAAACCTCGCACGTAGAAAAGTGGATCAAACGCTTATTGTTCTCAGTGCAATACTTAATCTGCATATATCACATGAACACCCCAATCACATACACACGTAAAAACACAAAATTGAAGAGCATCCATTTCGTTTGTCAATCTTCAAAACCCACCACCGGAATCGCATCAATGAAGTTGCTATAGATGGTGTCCAACGGGCGCGTGTTGTAATCCGCCGGCGTGCAAATTGCAGCAAGATTGATCGTCTACAACAAAGAACAACCCGATTTAAAAAGTAAAATAAAAAGCAAAATTATCAAATTCATGATTTTGAATTGCATTCAATTACATCCATATCTCAAGTCACATCTACACACTAGCTCGTAATTTTTTACAGTTATTATTTTAAATTGCAAGTCACAACTACAATTACTACTCCAACGTCAAGGTTTTTGAGATTTTTTATAACTACATAACAACTGGAATTGCAGCCGCATTTATTAATGATTTTCTACGCAATATTAAGAAGATAAATGCTAATTTGCATGTATTAATGTATTCACAAATTTTAATATATTTAAACTTATTGTTTTTATAAAGTTTTATTTTCGAACTATCGCAATTTAAAACATTAGAATAAGGTGAATGCAATGCGAGCAAAAATCTGAAATTTAAAATATAAAGAAATACATTATAAGAGAAATGTCTTAAAGATATTTATAAAAAATCATATTAAAATATATAAAATGATTTTTTTAATGTATTCTTTAATCTATTCATGATAAAATTTTATTAAAATTATAAATTATTATAAGATATGATACATTAATAATACTATATAGTATACTTTTTATAAAAATTAATAAAATTTTTATAATGTCATTTTTAATACACATTAAAAATTACAAAAATTATATATGTTTTAATATTTTATAAGAAAACATTTTCACTTTTAATTTTTCATTGATTGGCCTTTTTCAGAAAGAAAAAAAGAAAGGAGAATTACGAGATCGGAAGCTTTGACGAGGGTTTCGAGGCGAGAATCGTTCTTGATGTTCATGTGATGGAACTCAATACGGTGGGCCCATGGTTGAGACTTGTCGAGAAGATGGTTGATTTTCTCGGAGGAGACGTCGACGACGATGGCTTTGTGTGAGGTCTCCGCCATCAGCTTCTCACAGAGGTGAGATCCGATGAACCCTCCGCCGCCGATCATGCATATCTCCACCGGCGGGATCGCCTTTCCGTCCAAGTCCACGCGCGCCATTGTAGAAAGAATGAAAGAAGAAACTGGAGAAAGAGCTATGTGGCAGTTATAACTGTTTTTCTATGATTGAAGAAGGAACTGAGAAAGCGGTGGCAGTTTCGTAAATTATCTCTTAATTTCTGTTATGGACGTTGCTTACTGTTACTTATAGCCCTTAGATTTTTCATCGTTAATTGTTTTTCATGAGTCATAGTTAACGGTTAATCTATATAGAGTATCCTGTCTTTTAATAATTATTTTTACATGTAGATTAGTATGTTTAATATATGTAATTGTTTAGGTTTTATTAATTCTATGATTTAATGTATTTTTTAGTAAAAACATACTTTTAAAAATAATTGTTATATTTTTTTAATTGACAAAGTTAGTCTTATTTCTTCATTATAAAAATATAATTAGAATAAAAATATTTATCATAATTAAATATAAAATTATTTAAATTAGTGTATTATCGAATTTTTGTTAAACATTTCTTTATTAATATGTTTCAGGTTACGATTGGAAAATAAAATGATAATATACTATTAGAGTTATACTGCCTATTCAAATTTTTTAAAAAAATACTATTTTTTTAAGATTAAAAGATAAAAGTTTAACTAGACTCAATAACAATAATAATATATAATTAATTCCTCAAAAGATAATATTTGGATATCCCTTCTTGTGTAATTGTATTTAATTCAATAGGTTCACATCACATCACATTGACTTTCCTTCTACCTTTGATATATGTGGCTCAAAGGTCTACCACTAACAAGTAACAATGGATGGTTGATTGAAACTCGTTTTTAAAAAAGTGCTTTCCACTTACATTGGGATCCTTGCTTGCTTGACCCTTAATTGTTTACTTTTGTATAAAAAGAAAATCTAATTTATTGGGTTTGTCTAAAACATTCTAATGGCTTGTAGTGATTGTGCAATTTATTCCTATATTCTAAGAAACTGTTTGGATTGATGTTTACAAAGCATGAATTTACCAATTTTTAACATAGTAAAAAATCATTTTAATGACAACTATTTCTTTTCAATATAGATAAGATTTGATTTTTTAACACAAAATAAATTAGACTTTTAAGCAGAAAAAGTTACTGAATATGACATATTAATAAAAGAAGTTCAAAAATATGGTATTTTTTGCAGTATTACCAGAATATGAAAAAAAAATATGTAAATGACGATTTTACAATGAACAGTACCATGGCAGGACGTAGACTATAGTTTCAAGTCTTCACAAAAATATCAATGACGATTTTAATGTGAACAGAATCATGGCAGGGATGCAGATTACAGTTTTAAGATTCTGTAAAACTGCAAATGGCGATTTTGACGATAGTTAAGAGTTAAAATTGCCAACGGCATTTTTAAGCAACTATAGACACTGCAATGCACAGAAACATAGCAGTGATTCAGCTATGAACACTGTAAACTCATTGATGGCGAGTTTTGACTTTGTCCATCATGCCATGCAGAAGAGCTGTAGCAATGAAGACCATATAAGTTGCCATTGACGATTTTTACTTTTTATATATTTCCACCTAGACATATGCTCAATGTGCAGGAGGGGAACAAAAATTGAAAATTGGGAGCTTTTTTGGTGAAGAAGAAAAAGGTGGGAAAGGAACCAAAAATTGGAAAAGAGAAACCTTTCTGTAGAAGAAGAAGTAGACTAAGAGAGTGAGAGAGTAGGAAATTAAAAAAATATTTTTAAAAAAAAATAGTGAAAGATTCTACTATTAATTCAAAAAAATATATCTTTGAGCAAATTCAGA